AGGAGCTAGCTGACTAGATCAATCTCATATAAATGCGAGATGAATATGGAAAAAGCTGTATTGTTTAAGTGAGACAGTAAGAGGCGTGGATAATTCAACTTCGCACAATCAAATTCTATCGCTCCAGATCAGGAATTGTGATCTCATAACCTAACACAGTGAGTATTTTTTGAAAGTATCGTCTAACTTTCCTTCTCGAGCACGACCCAGCAAGGTAATAATAGTCAGCCTTACATCAACGGTATAGACGTAGGATGTCGAATTGGATGATCTGGATTCCACGCTAGTGAGATGCAAGAGTAGGTGACCAAGGGGTGAGAATGCAGAGAAAAAGTACTGCCGCGCTTCATTCCTAGACAGAGTGGGACTTTATAGGCCAAAAAAACAGGGTTTTAATTTTAGCTGAGAGATCCCTAAAACCAGAAAATCCAACGAAATCGATACTTATGCCTTGAGTACACACACCTCTAATATAACAAAGGCGAGATCAATACATAAAGTGGCTAATCCATTCTGGGTATAGCCTATGATCACCACGCATGACTCAGTTAGCACGTGATCAGGTTGTTTCAAGCCATTCTGACATCTACAAAGTACCCAGTGATCCTCCAGGACTGTGGAAACTGTTGTAAAAGCGGCGAGGACCTAAGATAGGCAACAGAAATGACGATCCTGGATAGCTGCATGTGTACATATGCGCTACTCCGTACTTACTGCGTCTAGGCTGTTCCGGGAATCTTCCCGAACTCTCTCATCTCCACCATATCCACATCTCCCGCCCGGCTGCACCTCGCCAAATTAAAACACACAAGCGCGGGCCAAGTCGGCCGTTTTACAAAGGTCCCTCCGAGGATGCCGGCTGTGACTAGACTACGGAGTAGATAACGAGGGGGAAAATACTCCGTGATGCACTAACGCGCTTGTCTGTTATTGGCGCAGCCCCGTTTGCGCGAGCGGGATGCAACTAAAGTGTAACTAACGGGGCTTGCGCAAGTGGAATTAGTAACTTCAAATGGCTCCCTATCTATGGACTAAGTGGACTAAATGGACTAAATTCGGAATTTTTTGCTTTCCCCGCAGCACATGGCTACACATTTGTGGATATTTCCAACTTGGCATTAACTTTGATTTAATGGCGACGATGTGTTGTCCTTTCCAAGGTTCATCCTTCAGATTCCACTCAAAGAGGCAAGAGCAAACGGAATGGGTATATGATCGACCGTCAATTTCATGTGTGAGTTGGTATGTAGTCACCGATGCATGATAGGAGCTTCCAAGATGCATGGAAGGATGAAAACGTGTTTTAGATTAACCTGTAGGGGTGGAGAACACATTGTCTCACTTTTGAAGTGTTTATGGCGCAGCCAATGACGGTCATTGGTTGTATGACACGTTAATTGCCTATGGGGCTGGCCGGATGCAAGGTAGTAGCCCTAGTCTCAAGGTTCCTTGCGTGTATATCGTACGGTAGAAAACGAGGAAACCGGCATCGGAACAGAGCGTCTATAGTATCGGTCTAAACTAGCGTAGCTAGCTGTCTCAGCACGGTCTAGCTTTTTCAATTCCGTTATTTATAAGACCCGGCTCCCCTCGGCTGAGAAATGTGCGTTGTACAGCCTCGCATATTTCTCGATTCCCACAAAGTAACAATTGCCAATTACAATGGGGGATAAAATAGCCGACGAGTATGCGGAACCCATCGATCCCGAAATCTACGCCAACAATCCCGCATATTCCTCCCTCTTTAATCCATATATTCACAAGCAGACGGTAATCGCCGATCATGTCTCAGTCCAATGTCACATCGACCTCAATGGAATTGATGCCGTTGGGTCGAAGTTCGGCAATCTAAATGCACATGCTGGTAATTTTACTTCGCTGTGTGCGCCAAACTGCCTGCCTGAAAGATTTGCCCTTGTCGCGTATACTGTGGAATACGCATTCCTTCATGATGGTACGTTTGAATATGTCGCTAGTCCATTTAGCATAACTAACACCGAGCTACAGATGAAACCGATAATGCTGCTGATCAAGAAGCTGTATGATAGCCAGAAATCATCCCATTTGTGTGGATCAAGAAACTTATGCGATATTTAGATGTCGCTTGAAAACGAGATGCTTCATCAAGCTATTAACCAGAGCGGTATGACTTCTGTATCAACCAGAGTATCACCCAAAGCACAGCGCAAAGCCGAGGTCCAGGCCAAGATCGCGGCCGAGTACCTGCGTCTGGATCCCGTGTTCGCCGAATTTTTCCTTAAAGCCTGGCAGACATTCACTACGTCAGTACAGGATGTGAGAAGTCTCGAATTCCCTAGTCTAGACGACTATCTGGCGTTCCGAATCGTTGATGCAGCGGCAGAGTATGTTAGCCCATCCCTAGTTCGAGAACTCAATCTGACCATTTCAAAGCTGGACTCTCTATAATTTCCGATGGGGATCAGGTATCATCCTCACCCCGGAGGAGGAAAAGATCGCCGACCCTATGAGCTACGCCGCATATGCGGAATTATGCTTAGTGAATGACTTGTTCTCTTGGGACAAGGAGTATGCAGCCCATCTCAAAACCAATGGGGATGTCCCATTGGTCAATGCAGTACATATTGTCGCGGTTACACAGGGTCTGACGCACTGCGCGGCAAAGGCAGTTGTCCAGGCCGAGGTCCGAGCACATGAAGAGCGATTTTGTCTGTTGAAAGAACAGTACGAGGCAACGTCTAACCCGTCCGATTCAGTTCTCAGGTGGCTGAAGCTGCTCGAGCACTCCATGGCTGGAAACTGGGTTTGGAGTCTTCGTACTCGTCGTTACTTCAAGGGCGACCGCAATCCATATAAAGACCACCTTGAAAAATATGGAAGTGACGCTGTGCGAGTTTTGACGATACCAGAGCAGCTTCGTGACTCCAAACAAGAGGCCAAAGATACCCCGCCAACTACTCCCAAAGACACAACTTCAAGTAGGTATAACTCCATGTCCCAGCGGGGATACTTATTGTCAGCAGACGAGACTGACAATATCTGAAATGAAGATACAGAGAGTGATGTGCTGGCGAATTACTCTCCTAGGTATCCCACAGCTGATGAGGTAAGTTTCTATGTCTAAAAGCCCTCTAAAGCGAGGAGACGCAAATGCTAACTAGAAATCGACAGCCCGTGTTGGATCCATACACCTATATTAGCTCCCTGCCTTCTAAGAATGTGAGACAGACATTGATAGCAGCTCTCAATTCATGGTACAAGGTGCCAATGAAGGCCCTCTTGGTCATTGAGGGAGCAGTCAACTTCCTGCACAACTCGTCATTACTGTAACCAGCCCGAACTCGGCCTGAAATTGCTTCTGGTCACTGACCTCTCGATAGACTCGATGACATCCAGGATGGAAGTGTCCTCAGACGCGGAAAGCCAGTGGCGCATCAGATATTCGGCGTTGGCCAAACTATCAATACAGCGACCTATCTGATGAATGAAGCATTGTCTCTTGTCCAGATGCTTTCGCCATCTGCGGTCGCGGTTTACACAGGTACCCTACCCAACCATTATACTTGCCAAAATTCTTGGACTGACAGGAATAGATGAAATGCGTAACCTCCAGCTCGGACAGGGACGCGATCTCCACTGGAGCTACCATACCCATGTACCAACCCCTGCGCAATATATTAGCATGGTTGACGGCAGTACGTACTGGCATGTCCATCTTTATCCACCAACTTACTAATCATTTCACAGAGACGGGAGGTCTATTCCGTCTAATCAGCCGTCTCATGAGATCAGAGGCCACAGTGAACAGGTATTTCAACCCCCATCTCACAGAAAGGCAAGGCCTAGCCTAACATATTCCAGCGACCTTGATATAAGTCAGTTTGCGACCTTGCTTGGAAGACACTTCCAGATCCGAGACGACTACCAGAACCTTCAAAGCGAAGATGTAAGCTATCCCCCACATAGTGGTTCGCAGCCCGAATCCTAGCTAACATGTTGCTATAGTACACAAAGAATAAGGGCTTTTGCGATGATCTTGACGAAGGAAAGCTATCTTTCCCTGTCATCCTTTCGATGCAATCACCCGGTTTCTCCAACACAACATTGTCAAGCGTGTTTAAGGGTTCCCAAAAAGGCGAAGCCATGACGCTTGAGATGAAGCAATACATCCTAGAGGAAATCACTGCTAGGGGAGCTTTCACCGAAACTAAGGCTGTGTTGAGGAAATTGCACACCGAACTCCTACGCCTCCTTGTGGAGACTGAAAAGCAAGCCGGTGGCATAGAGAACTGGGCACTGCGGTTGTTGATTATGAAGCTCGACATCACCGATGAAAAGAAAAAGGTGACACACAAGACTGATTCTCATTGGAAGGTCAATCAGCGACGGGCGTGGAAAGGAAGTCAGAAGAACGGCCGGCCTATTGATAAAGCTTGCTTTTTGAAAGCTCTGGAGGAGGCACTTCAGAAATAAGTCTCAGTCAGGGAGTAATTCTACCTAGACATTTACGAAGATACGATATACATAGTTCACACTGGCGTTTTTGAAATATATTTACCTTTTCTTTGCACCATAGAGCATCATGGGCTGTTCTCCGAAAATTAAAACAATGCATATAATTGGCGGAACCCGGGAACCTGGTTCCTGGTCTTACGCAATGCAAGACCTTTTTACAATTCTTTTCTGCTGGATCTCCTAGGATGCATACCCCACTCGTCGTGGGGTAGGTTGGCTGACGCCATGGCCGATCGGTGTCCCAAATTGGTTGTAGATTGATCATCTCTTCACACCACAGGACTAGATTCTCATGACAATGAGTTACACATTGGCTTAGAAGGTAAAGTGGGAGTCGGAAATAGATCGCTCTATTATCCTACACTCGGGATTGTTTTCTTGGCTCGTACCCCATCGGGCTACTCTAAAACTACCCCTCAACACAATCACTACCGACACTATTTCTTCCAATCTCCGATTAGCCTTCGATTGTACATTACTCTATCTGCTTATCTATACCCACCCCTATGTCATCAATGACCAAACCCACTATCGTTCTCGTGCATGGCGCATGGCATGGCTCGTGGTGTTGGAAATTCCAAATCCCCGCACTTGAGGCTCTCGGGTATGCCGTAGAGGCCGTGGACTTACCATGTGTCAGTGGGGTACCTGGTACGACACAGTTCGACGACGCGGACCACGTACGATCTGTCGTGGAATCGCAGACATCTATGGGTAAGCGCGTTGTTGTGCTAGCGCATTCCTACGGCGGACCGATTGCAAGCGCTGCCATCAAGGGACTTTCCGATAAAGGCGTGCTGGGGATGATTGCCCTATCTGCGTTTATCTTTCCTGGAGGCATGGATCAAGGCACGGTTATTCGCGACATGGGTGGTTTGCCATACGTGACGTGGGACGTGCCGAGTGAAGGTCTTTTCCAAACGAAGGACCCCCGCAGCTTGTTCTTCCCACCGGATGTGTCGGCGGATCTAGTTGACTGGGTGGTACCGCAGCTTCGCCCTCAGAGCATGGCTGCCAATATGGGGATTGTGCCTCCTCAAGCCTGGGAGGATGACTCTTATACTGGCAGATTGGGCTATATTAGGTGCACTGCCGATGTCGTCATTCTCATCGAACAGCAGGACGCCATGGTTGAAGGTGCAGGTGGACAGGGGAAATGGGTAGTTCGCACTCTTGAAAGATCGGGTCACAGTCCCTTCCTTTCACGACCACAAGAAGTGGCCGCTGCCCTTGAGGAGATTGTGAATACTTTTGAAGCTAAGATATGAGGGGAGCAATGAGTCATAGGTCTTTATCAAGTTGATAGTATTTGTACTCGCCCCTAAACTGGAGGTACTCGGGGTAATGGCACTCATAGGTTGAATATGGCGGACAGAGAAGGAGGTACTATCGATGTATAGATCAACTTAAGAGGAAAACGCCCCAAACAACCATAAATCTCCTCTTCGAAAATCAAAATCCGGGTTGCTTTTCATAGGAGTTGGGCAATGATTTCTCGAGTCAGTCCCACTGTCTCATCGATCCGATTCAAGAATGGCGCGCAGTGGCTATACGCCATCTCCTTGACGATCCACTCCTTCTGCGTAGCGGCCATCATGCCGAATTGCGCCTCCTTTGGCACTGCCCGATCCTCAGTGGTGACGATAAACGCCAATTGCCCTTCGAACGCCTCATCTGCCCAGGCCGGATGGGGCTGTGGCGAGGTGAAAGCTATGGTCGAATGCGGTCTGACTTCAGCGGTCAAGGCCTGGGTCAAGGCCGGATCGACATCGGCAGCGAAGTAGTTAATGGGGTCATCCGCAGTATTGAGATTCGCCGATGGCTGCGACAGGTCGGCGAGTTAATTTCAAATTCAATCTAGTGGAGGCGTAGAGGCCCTACCTGATCGAGCAAGATCCAGGGGGCAGGTTTCCTCCCTGAAGACCCCAACAACTGAGGCCTTCAGGCACGAGGAAGGCCGCTAGGAATAACAGTCCAATGACGCCTCCGGATTTGCCTTCTTGCGCCCGCTTCGATTTGGCTAACCCGGTAGCCGCTGCGGCGCCGGGCATGCCGCCATAAGAGTACATGAAGACCAGAACATCTTTACCTTCATCCTCCACGAGCGATTTGAGAATCACAGCAATAGCATCGGTGTCGGCCTGGCAGGTGGTTGTGGTCGGGTCCTCGGGGTTGAACGAGGGGTATCCTGCGAAGTGGATATCGTAGCCAGCGACCTTGAGAGCTTGGAGAAATGGTTGGTAGAATGACGGGGCGATCCAAGCGCCGGGAACAAATAGGATGGTGGTCATTGTGTAAGGCGGTAGATGTGTCACGGAAGGAACCCGGCAAATGGCAGATAACTAATATATTACTTCCACTAGACCGGCCGATAGGTAGGCATCTGCCAATGCTGCGGAGTACTGAGCCTCTTAAGTATGTCTCATTTTCACTTGGAGGGGTTCGCTCAACGTGCATGCATAGTGGCCCCATGCCAAATAGCCCCAAAATCGTGAGTACTCTGATTGGACCAACAGTTATCATAAAACATGGGTGTGTTTGGGGCGGAAAATTAAATACCTAGGTACTACCCATCAGTACGTCCATTTGTCTGCTGCTGCTGCCATTATGGATCTCGCCTCTCCGGCCGGTATAGGCCTCCATGAGCCCTATCAGCCCCAGATGTGAGCTAAATATTGAGCTACTTATGTTTTAGGAGTGGTTTCGGTCGGCCAAGTGAGCACTGAGCAAATTGGAGAGTGTATATTGCTCTTATTTATACGATGGATATAGAATCTGAACCTAGATCATCGTGGCTCGCGGTTACATACCTTCACAAGTGGACGAAAAGGCCCGGATTCATATTCGCTACTCACCTTAGAGCAACAAGGTATAAGAGGAAGAATTACTACAGATACTTGAGCATGATAGTAGCATTGTTAATTCGCGGGTCAGTGGTTTGACAGGGGAAAAAAAGGCCATTGTAGAGGTGTCATAAACGGTCTTAGTCAACTCATTGATAATTCTACATAGAAGCATTGTTTTGCCCTTTCCGGGATCCCCTTCGATCCATAGGAGCTGGAAGTACTCCTTTTAGAGCCATTCATTGAAATCATCATTGTCAAGCACCCAACTGTACGCGTCCTTCAGTGGTCTGCCTTTGTAGCTTTCCATGCGACTCTTGTCATGACGTGGACTCGCCGCCTGCAAATCCCGAATATAGACCGCGTTTTCTGATATTCGAGAGCCTTCTTAATGAGTGAAAGGCTTCTTGGTGACTATTCATCGAGCACTGCTTCCTCCTGACTTACCAGTCCCGGAGCAAAAGTTTGCATTGAGGAGACCACTATTGTGAGCTATTTGCAGTCCTGGATTATTTCCTGTGAAATTTCCCTCCGAGATTCCAGCCATAGTGTTTAAGTGCAACACCGTATTAACCCAGGCAGTTTGAAAAAAACAACATTCTTCCTGGGGCTTCTGGGTGGGAGAATCAAGTGTGGGGTGAACAGGTCACCCCCTGGCCAAGTATTGGCCAGACATAAGCCGTATGCCTAAAGCCGAGCCCCGCGGGTTTTTCGAACAATTTTCAAGTAGCTTCACGTACTGGATCTTCCCGAAAGAGATGTCGGCGCAGGCTGACCCTGTTCATTTGGAATGACATGCGGATTGAAATCGTCGATATATGGATGTTCTGGAGTGGTTGGTTTGTCGGATTGGCCTGTATTGTAAATGTAGGGGTCCAATCAGTGGTATTCAACTCTCTGTATTTCTGTATCGGCTCTTGGTACAATTTATATGAAGCCATGATTACATAACATTAATTACAAAAATATGTAGGATTAATAAATCCTCCGGTATGCCGGTCGTCATGTTCCGACATGGTTCGTATGCTGTATGCCTGAGGCCTGCAAACTTCCTTGTTTGTCAGGATCTGCTTCGTTCTCCACCCCCCACCATCATCCTTCGATGTACTTTCAGCCTCCAAAAATATTGTTTGAACTGCATGTATTCATGCTCCAAATCCTTTTCATATCTTAATTACCTCTTTGATTGGATAAAAACATGTGCGAACATATTCGAAACAATAAATAATGCAGGATGAGGCTAGATACCGCCACGATTTTGCATGTAAATATCACGTGATGAGATCGGTAAACCGATGATCGGCTCCAGCCTGACCCCGCGTTCCTCTAATCGATTCCCAATCTTTATCCTTCGAAAGGCTTTGATTGAATCCGCTTATCACTATGGGTATCCTAGGCCACCACAATCTCGCCCCTGTTGCCGAGCCTATCGCCATATTCGAACAATATGTCTCAAAGGAGCCGCAGACAATCGTCCTGAAAGAAAAGGTGCTCTCTGTCTCTGGGGATAGCTTTGAAATCAAATTGGCCAATGGAGAGCCATTTCTGAAAGTGCACGGAGCTTGGGTATCGTTTTCTGGTCGCAAGAAGGTCGAGGATGCCCATGGCAAGCACTTGTTTGATATTGTGAAGGAGCTTCTACATATCCATTCGACCTATGCAATCGAAGACACCCACCGCAAGAAGATTTGTGAGGTCAAGAGTAATCTCACATGTAAGTACCTCTTTCTATGATCCGAGACCATCCAGAAAGGTAGACAGACTCCGTATGTTATACACATTACTAACTGCACCAGTGATCGGCTCCAAGGCCACCGCCACTTTCACTGATAGTAACGGCAAGGCAGTGAGTCTCAAAATGAAAGGAGGCTGGTTCGACCATACTGCCGATATTGTCGACGAGAAGAGCGGCCAAACAGTGGCTCGCATTGACCGGAAACTGCTTAGCGGTCGCGATCTTGTGTTTGGTCAGCAGACTTACGCCGTTATTGTGGCACCCGGCGTGGATGCAGCGCTGATCGCTGCCTTGTGTATCTGCTTTGACGAGAAGAACAATGAGGAACGCGGCAACTAAATACTGGCATCTGGTCAGCCGTTGCTGCCTGAGGCACCAGCTCCAACCATTAGTGTCAACAACTAACTGTCATTTTCCTATATCCAGAATTAAAATGTCAGGTTACCTGAGTGAAAAAAAAAACGTTTAAAATCACCCTTTTTTGAAAGTAGTTCTGGCTACCACCGAATTTTCACTGTTGTATGTTTTTGCTTTCTTTCTCGGCAATATAACTACTCCGTACTAGTAGATACACATGCAAGGATATTTAAAATGAACCTTGGCTCACCGTATTTATCGATCTTATGTAATGCGACTATTATTCCAAAATCCATCTGGGGAGCCCTGTTGTTATCCTAAGCTTCAGTGAAAGTATCATCTCCAGCGGGACAACAATGCGTCCAAAAAGCGGCCCCTTAAGGGAAATTGATCCCTCTACAATCAATATCGTTGCGCATATCACGAGCTCTGATACCTCTTCAATATTTGAGGTAGAAGTGGATGGACAAAAGTACGTATTGAAGCTTTTCCACGACAACGGCGACCCTGGGTATGCTGAGAATGGACGTGATCTAAACCGATTTCGCTGCGAATTCAATGCATACGAGAAGCTTGTCACGTCTGGTGTCTGTGAGTCCCGCGTCGTTCCAAAGTTCCACGGCTACATTGATCGGGTGGATCCAGCTCTATTCTATCCGACTTTGAAACATTTCGCTCATGACAAGTTCCAACCGAGAGGAATGTTGCTAGAATACCTCCCAAATGCGGAGAGTTTAAACTGTGTGAACTTCTTGGATGCGCTCTTTCCCCAGGCGATTGAGGGCATGAAGGAGATACACAAAGCGGGCGTTCACCACCAAGACATCTACCCTAAAAACATACTCCTTGTTCGCGGAAACCCAGACAGACTGGTCTGGATTGACTTTGATGTTGCAACGACCTTTACCGATCTTGAGCCTGAACAACTCGCGCTCTCTGACCACGAGATTGAGCTTGTGAAGGGATTTGGTGATGCGCTGGTAAGGGTTTCGTTTCTGCCTATGCCACAAGCATTTGGTGGCGCTAACTAACAAATCTAGAGAGATGACCAGGCCGAGGGACTCCCTCCAAATACCAAATTTTACTGAATGTTTTAAAGGGTTTCAGGATCAGACATATGTTTACCAAATACTGAATGCTCAGATAGAATCTTTCATGCAGACAATCCACCGATAAATATATATATCACCAACCTTGATATGTAAATATCTGCTCCGTTCTTAGTTATAAAGCCTCGGTTGTATCGTTTTATCAACAGTATTATCTTAATGTTTGGAAGTCAATATCCTGTTATCAAAATAGCGTAATATGACACCCCTTGCTCATTTCGCGTAACACTTTATTTCGTAATAACACATTCATCATAATTTGTACGAATAATAAAAATTCTATGTGCCTTCTTGTCTTGATTAAAACAAGAGTAAATAACATTATTTAGTAAAGAGTGACCATTTTCAAACGCAACCAAGTGAAGTTTCGCTGATATTTGCATACCGATCCTTCTCTGGCTGTATCTTCTGTGTTCCACTGATACCCCGTGGTTGAAGAGAAGGATCGGCATTAACAATGGCGCACAGACCACGATGTCTTCCTCGCAATGAAACTGCGATAAGCAATAACTTGCTAAGTGTATGCCATGCACCGCAAAAAGCGTAACTCTGGCCGGGATAACCAATACTTACACCGACGCAGCTGTATGCAGACACAGCTTCGAAAATAATGTTGAATGTAGAAAAGGCTAAAGGTTCAGCTGTGAAGTGACCAGATTCGATGATTGTTATGAGGAGGATAGCAAGGGAGAGCCACCAGATATCGTGGCTGAATTGAGAGCGAAGTTGTTTGTACACGAAACGGCCGTGAGGAAACCTTGCCAATCGCGGGTGAGAGGATTCTTTTTGAGGCTGCTCCGCCGGCCAGTCGTCCACAACCTCTGTGCTGCTACTATATGTCAGACTGCAATCCCAATTAGTAAGATTGGGGGGAGTCATACCTGATGGCGGCCGAGACAGGGAAGGCAGAAATATACTACAACCTCCATGGTTAGTTACTAATACCGTTGCCGAGCAAAATATGAGTTCCTACCATCATGAAGACTAAATCAAATACAATCAGTAAACTGTCTAGTCAAAGCTGGCCTTTCCCTTTTGGAGAGTGAGAAACGAACCATATAGAATGAGCAATCCCTGTGGCAAGCGATCGAATGCGACAACAGAGAACCCGCCACCACGCACGGCTGTCTTCTGTGTCAGCTCTATTCAACAGGGAATGGTGATGAACCTACCTAGAGCTTGGAAAAGCCCATCCAGTACCCGGAAGTTGATTGGAAGAGAGCGAATCTCCTCATTATGAATAGCAGAAATCTCGAACGCACCCCACATGAGGGCATTAAGCAGAATGATTGTACCGAATACAAACCATGTATGCCAGGTGGGGTACAAGTAAGCGCAGACCTTATGGGGTTGGGAGAGAGTAAAATCGAAAGTTCGTCGCCACAACTGCCAAGTTTCATTATTTGGCAACATCGTTCTCAACACCCAGATGAGGAAGCGCAGTAAGCAGGGGAAAAGGGTATTTCCAGCAAGGATGAGGAAGCCGCAGGCGAGAAGGGGAAAGGGCCTGGTGGCTGTGTCAATAAAGCACGTTGAAAAATAAGTTTTCGGAATGAAATAAGTACCCACTCTTTTTGGTAAGGGCCCATATTAGTATCGATGAGGGACATCCCGTTGTTGCAAAGCGCAGATGTAGCAAGAAATGCCCCTGCCCAAAAAGGGGAGGTTTTATCCTCCCGTGGAATATCTGGGCGGACGAACTTTGACCATAGGCCCACGGTCACGATACCAAGAATGAGGAAGCCGATGAAGTATATTATGACAAGCCCTGCTATTAAACAAAGTGCCATATACTTGATCCCGTCTGGAGTATTGCAGCAGATTGAATCTCTGCAAGACAGATGATTGGCTGATCGTTGTACCATGCCCTTGAACAAAGAAATTTGGCTTCGAATGTGTGCCTTCCAATCTCCGATGTGTTTCTTTTTGTTATTCACGCCGACGAGAGAACCTCGCTGGGTCTCATCAGGATGTCGTTGGTTTGTAGCAGAAGAAAGTTCATGACCATTCCATAATCCTGTATCTGCTTGAACTTCTTTCACTGCCATTCTGATCTTTGCCTTGTCTATTAATTTCGCAGGCAACGAATCCTCTTTTTCACAGCCCATTTGCTCCTGAAGTTGCACTATCGGCATTTGGGACACTGCTTGGTCACACTTTTCTTCGCTTGGAGCATCTTTCAGGGCAGTTCGGAAGGACATGGCACGCAACAACGAGATGAAAGCGAATATTGGAAAAGCATGGCCGAGAATAAGAAGAGCAAAAAGGGTGCCCTGCTGTAAAGATCCCAATGTGGATAGATCCATCTTCGGAAAAAGTGAGCCATAAATCCCGGGTTTCATACCATCAGTTGTGCAGACGTACCACGTTCAGCCCAGTCCCCGTCATGGCGCTAAAACACATGAACAAAGCGTCAACATAGTGGAGACCATGGATCTGCGTCGGGGCCGTGTAGAATATGATACTACAGATGGTTGGAGTAAGAATAAAGTAGGCATAGTGTAGTGTGAGTGGACTGAATCTAATAAGATCAGCCATGATCGGCATACTCAATTGAGAGTCGTCGTAAGCATCCTCTAAGTTCCGGACTAGGGCGCCCAAAATTATATATAAGGATCATCGGATTGTGCGGTTCAGCAGAAAATAAAACAAATAAATAAAAGCCGCCCCTTGTTTGTATCACAGCACCTAACTACAACATAAAAAGCTATCAGAGGCCCCTTTCATCCGGAATGTAGGCGTAGTATCGTCTGGTTTGAGCTGTTTCCTCTTATCAGGATCGCGCCGAGACACCACCCGGGCACATTGGTAAGTTCATTGGGCATCATTGAGTTTTGGAGTTCAATCAACGCAGTGGAGCAAAAAAGGGGCACAGGGCTTAGTAGGTTCTAAGGTACGGCGCGCTGCATTATGCGGATGCAAGGCTCAAATATGTGGGACCGTGTTACTATTTGAAATTTTTCTACTCCGTAGTATATATGGCATTAGGCACTTTGTCATAAGAGAATGGCCAGATTGGTAATGCTATAGAAGTGATAGATCAGGCCAGCTCTACAGTATACGAACTCTACCTATAGGAAGGTCGAGTTATTCAGTCCACTGCCACATTGACGGCATCTCCGAGATATGAGCCACTCGAAGGATATTTGTGGCTTGACAGGGTCAATTTACAGCAAGGTAATATGCGAGGAAGGCTCCTTTTATCGCAGCGCGAAGTTACACTGGGTCTACTAAGTGGTTCACTTTCATGTTTACCACAGTTACCTTTTTGAGTAGGTAGCATTTGCCCCAATATCAATCATCCAGACTACGGCTAAACTGTCTTGATCCTAACGTATAAACCTTTGGGCAGTCACGATGTCTGTTACGTGGTAAGAGAGGACGGGTAAAATTCCATGAAGGCTAGAACGCTGGCCAAGTTATCGAAAGTCTCCGTTACAGTTTCATACTAGCATTTTTTAAGCTCCGCCACTTCCGGTGTTTTCTCAATGATGAAGGCAGTGTTATAGATGTTGATTTAATTTCAAAGCCCCGTTTATTGCATTTGTCGAGAAGATTATATTTGAAATCAACATCTTACGTAAAATTGAGGAAATATATCTAGTTGTTGACTAGTTAGTCGTGTAACTCTAGAGTGGATCTAAGAGTTCCAGGTTATCGGGGAATTGGTCTCTATAAGGTGCAAGTATTTCGGATTAAGCAATGCTAGTCTAACATATTTCAAACGGGAAGGGGTGATAGAGTGGAGACGGTTGAAGCCACCCCTTCCTTTGATGCAGACCTAGGCAGAAAAGCGCGATTTATTCTTATCTACACCATCTTTACGTGGAAGTCTAATCTTATGGCCTGACGGAGACGGACTATGCCTATTCAGTACCTGGGGATGGCTCCTCTAGCTTACCTTTGAGTATCTAGCCGAGAGCGGAAACACAAACACATGATTGAGCTGGGTAACTTCTGTCATATCACTTGATGTAGATAAGCTTGTGTCCCTATTAGGTCACATTAAGTAACAGTCACCTTGTCGAAGTGTTATGCAGCTATCAGAACTTTATATATGTATATATATATATGTAGGTATTGGGACAAACATGTAGAATGTTCCACTTCTTGAGAACCCACTTGAAACCTTGATAAGATTTACTGTGGTCTAATTGCCTCTTCTATTGCCAGGCTGCTCTGATGGCGTGTGACCTTGAAACCGCTAGGCTGACAAATTGTAGCTCGATCTTTCCGTGTTGCTCATACGCAAGGGATGTGCTGTCATCTCAATGTTTGCAACATCAGCGGGCTGCGTCGATCATAGCTGCTTTGGTGCTGTACCAACCACATTGGTGTAGGAACCTCGATGATAATGATAATGTAGATTATAATGATGTGACGATAATTTGGAGCACGCTCACTCCCGAGGTTCTATTATAGAGCAGTGAAAGTGGCGCAGTGAAGGAGTAGCACGGACTGATGGATAAACAGGGTTCTATGAACACGTCTGTAGCATCTGTATTAATGACAGCGCGAATTGAAGATGGTCACGGAGTTGGCATAATGAAATTTTAGGGGCCTGATATTAGACCGCTTTTAGGCCTCAATATACACTGTACTGTAAACCATTCGGCATGGAACAACTATCATGCCCGGTATATAGAAAAATGAAGCTTTTGTCCCATCCAAAATTCATATATCTCCAGCTCTAGGGTGTTTACAATTGCACTTTACAGATATTTGAATTTTGCATGGGCTCAAAAGCTTCAATTTACTTTCCCGCCTAAAGCAGGTAGAACCAGGGTATATTGCTTAATAAGGGGCCTATAATGGTATTTCAGGTATCTTTATTTTTCTGCCAGGCCAATATCAGGCTTTTGGGCATTAACCTAGTGAAACGAACCCTGGACGCTATACACCTGGGTACGCTGTGGCTGGTGTTCAATTCTTCTTTATGTAAAGTTCAAAACTCGTAGATAATTCCTGGAAAGACCATGTTCCCCGCATGTGAAGATTCAGAAAATGCATATTTAGGGGGAAGCAAATGACTATGGTGGAATGTGGAGGTGACACCATCTTTTTGACCAAGTCGATGCCACATGAGTTGGCCATGCATTATCGTTTGGCCCGGGATTTGACCGGCGGTTGATTGTGTTTCATTGACAATTCACATGACGATGATCGCTGAAATTCTTCTTCCGGTACTCGCTGTCCATCGACGGATAAAAGGCTCACAATATTTCCCCTGGTCGCATTAGCCAGAAGGTAATGCGATGAAAAATTTCCTAGTGCAAAAATGGATGCCCGGAAACTGAAGAACAAGTGGGGAATGAAGGGTGTTTGTAAAAGTTGGGAATATTAATTCAAATCACCGATGACGGGCCAGAGCGTTTGTGGGTGGTAGGAAGGTGGTGAGCGTGAATTTAGTGAGAAGGTAATGCCTGACGATGAGGAGTTCTTGCTACTAACATGGAGGAAATTTGATCATTCTCCACGCAAACTTTACATGTTTTGATTGTCACCACGTCCACGGAATTGATTTATCTGCATGTGAGTCTCAGTAATCCCCATCGCAGAATCCCCACCAAGATGCGGAGTGCACCATGATTCGGAGTGGAACTGCCTGCATGACTGAATGATCTCCACCACACCATCGAGAATCCGGCCCGCGCCGGTGATCAGTGCCTCACCCACAGTCCCGTCCAGCCCAGAACCGTTTTACCAGCCAAGGTTTAGCGCTTGCCACAGAAACCACTCTACGCGCCACCGATGAACCTGTGTTTCTACCCTCTTCGCTGATTGACTGCCAACGCGATGACGATTATTGCCAACGAAAATGCACACATGAGACACACTTGTGATGGGGAGCCATCTTACGATTCAAAAGATGAGACGTTGCGCAATTATTTGACTACAAATATATCTCCAATCTGATCTGTCAGACCCAGCTTGGATTGAAGATTTGATCATTGGAGTTCAGAACAGCCCTGGAGGAGACAAGGTTGTTGTTCCGTTCCAAATAAAAACAACATATCATACGGTAGGTACCTAGGTGCCTTCTTCAACCCAAGGTAATCTTACAGGTTACATAATGTGGCGTTTCCAACCTTGGGAACCTTCGGGATTTGAGTTCATTCAGAGCCGCATTCTCCTTCCCGTCGGCGCGGATCGAACCTACCATATATCCTCCTGTTACGATGAAATAATGAAAGGGGCTCGCAGGACTAGTGGATATTCATTGGATGAGGATGCTTGCTTAAGGAGAGAGTATCAGAAAGGTGGGTGCTCTTTATGAGTACCCTACTATACCACCTTTATGAGACCGTCTTCGAACTCCGGTACACCAGATCGAACCTACCTTATACTCTCCGTCGTGAAATCCACTAGTACATGAGCAATAGCGCGCCTATTGGTCGGAATGGTGTTCCGCCGGAAATTATTTTACGACAGCCCTCTTTATGACCTCTCACCTGTGACTGGATCCACCTCATTATCGTTTTGTCAGATTCTGCAACATCAATCAATATCCCCGTCAGGGTTGCCCATCGAGGAATATGTCTCCCTAGGGATCGCAGAAAAGCCCCTACGACGAAGCAGCTCATACATCTGCTGCAAAGAACTTGAAGTGGCCGAGGGTTGCAATATAATCTTAAGGTAGACATAGGTGGACCGTGGGACGCGTTGCCCCAATAATAATTGCATTTAACTGTCTTTTTGGTCGCACGACCATTTTGGGGGCAAATTATAGAAAGGAAATTCAACATTCAGCACGTCGTTGCCCGTAGTCTCCGTTTGTCGCATGAATAATGTTCTCTTGGCTTTCATTAACAGTGTCCTGCAGTATTGTCGTTCCCATTCCCATACTGATCTTTCTTTTCTTAGGAATCGCGGGCTCGCTGCTTTCCATATTGAAAAGCTCGTGGGACTTAGCGCCGGTCGATGCCTTGTCTCCCGAGTTTATGGTGGATCCGAATCGGCGGAAAATAGGCAACGGTTTCAGAGAAGAGAGAGAGCCTGCGACAAGGCCCAAATTGAACTCAATGGCCATCCAGTATAGGGATGATGCTGAGTCGTCTGTGGTTGATCGTTAGTATAACCGAGCCACCGAGTATGGAAGAAGAATTTGCAGTAGGGTGTGCTCACATGTAAGATCTGCTGTGCCATAGCGCAGATAATCCAATGTGCTGAAACGGACGACGGGAGAGATACAAGCGATTATACCTGAGGTTAAAATGAGTATTTCTAAAGCTTTCTTATAACGCGGTGTGTACAGACCTGACCCAAAGATTAGCATCAAAGCAATGACCTTTCTCGTAGGCAATTGTAGTCCGCATAGAACAACCAGTGGTGCAATCAGGATGATGACATCGCAAACGAAGATAAGAACCGCCTGATATAATGTGATCTGAAATAGCTTAAATTGTGAGTAACATGTCGGATTTGTGATAGACAAGTCATAGGTAGCCCTGTAGTTTTGCTGGTTAATATATGTTGGAAGACATTCGCGAAGATCAGACTTTTCGTGTACCTTGCAGGGTCACATTGGAATGCCAAAACGAAAGAACCGGATACCGAAAAAGCGATTTGGAAGATAATCATGCCCATAGTGAGCCAATTCATCCAACCTAAACATGGGGCGATTTGTGGTCAGTGCCGAGTCATCCTACCATCGGGATCTTGTGTGATTAGCGCAAGACTTACGTTTGACGAAGATCCGTCGAAGGAATAACAACAAGCTGAGTTTGACGGACAAGGAGGCGTAAAGGTAGATGCACATCGCCACGTAGTACAGCTTTTTCCAAGGTCAACAGCGTGCTCAGCAACAAAGGAGCTATCTGGATCCTACCTTGAGCCACATTGCTCGATCTTCAGGAGACACCTTGCTGAAGTGTTTACCTTCTCCATAATATACAATGGCAACTCCTAGACCATTAAAGGCTTGAGTTATAACCTGTTATTTAACTCTGTTAGTCCTAACGGGTTGTCTATGTCCCCAATGGATGGAATTGGGACATACCAATGCGATACAGACAGCAATATCGTCCAATCCAAACACCTTGATGATGCATACTCTTGTGTAAAGCTGCAGGCAAAATAAGTTCATGTCCCGTATTCCACCAGATTTCATGTATTTGCGGAGTCCTTTCGCCAGGATCTTACTCTTAAGCCACACACTATCATGGATAGGATCCCCGTGCTGATGATTAGACCGTAGATTAGCGACTGTAGGTACCGCTCATCTGCTGTTATGCTTAGGTCGGCAGTAGAGGGCGACATGGTGGCCATTGGAAAAGTCAAAGGCCTCTTTTAACATCAACCGCTGAACATTTCACGAGTTAAAATTTAAGAGTCAGGACATGCGAATTCCTAGGTTTAAATCATGGAGGACTGTGTTTTGTGAGATCGAAAAAGAATGAAACATATATTGTGACAGGTATCCTGCAAATTTTTGGTACTTTTGTGCACTACTCTCATGCCGCATGTGCAAATCAATAAATTTTGTTATCAACACAAATCTTTAACCTTCGTTCTAAACAATTAGGAGGTGCCGAACCTTAATTTTCCTATCCTGAGTAATCTCCGAAGATCTGTGTCAGCTTCACCTACTCCGTACTACTCTAACTTGAGTATAGCCGTTAGACCGGGGAGATGGAAAGTGGGGCCTACTCCACCAGTGTCCATCCAATATGTCTACTGGATAGATCTTTTAGTGGGACTGAGCTGTCTCATTAGCGGCATGAGGAGTTGTTTCCGCTCTGAGCTCCGGAGTATAGAGTTCTGAGCTATACAGTGGCGGGTCCAGTAACGGTGCCGAGCATCTACAAGTCACCAATGGGCGCCAAAGTACGGTATCTAGTGACAGCCCACTAAAAATAACCAAAAGAAACTAAGGCTCCTCCAAGAGTCGAGACTAGGTACAGAGTACGGAGTACAGAGTACAGCCACACCTCATTAAAATGGAGGGATCGGCAGAGAGCGACTCCTTCAGAATTACAAAGGTTGGGAACACAGGGGCCTTCCAAGGTTCCAAGACATTTTGGGCTATGTAAGGTCGACGGATCTTCCGAGGTCATTTCTTGTCTTGTATCATATAATCCCATTTTGGAGCCAGCCCCAGTTCTCCAGAACCGGCCCTTTGAGGCAAAATGCGGAATGAAGGATTAAGGCAGGAGTAGGCACGTGGGCGGTAAGCAAAACAGCACTTTCTTCCAAAATCATGTGATTACTTATAAAAAACGTTAGGTCCGTTTTAACGAGGTGCGACTGTACGTACTTCGTACTCAGTACTTGGCCCAACGCCCTCACACGCTGTTAGGCCGTAGCACGTAAAACACATTTTCACTTAAAACATACCTTTAATTTTTATAGGGAAACTTATATAAAAGGTAGATTGAATTGAACACTTATATCGCTACCACAATATTGGATATTACGAATATAAGTAGACCTTATGAAGTCTACTTTATAAATGATAAACTCACTTCTTTTTAATGACAAAGTATTAGTTACTATATAAGAGTTAGAAATTGAAAACCCCTGCCAAAAGATGATAGTATGAAAACTTCCTCCCTAGCCACTACTATAAAAACGAATTATCTATGAAATACTCTATCTTTAATATATGTAAATATCGTCTAAGTATTGTGAACGAGCTTTATTTCCTACCTAGGTGATATTACGGTTGAGATATAAGGGTTTTCCTTGTTGTATCTTTTGTATGGGTTTCCCTACAAAAAGGTACATTATGTTTCAAGTGAAAACATGTTTGAGTGGTGCGGCCCTAACCCCTTGGGGGGGGTTAGGGGCGGAAGCGCAGGGCCGAGTACGGAGTAGCGTCCCCAGAATCCAACGCTCGAGCCCGTTTGTGGTCAGATTGTAACGCTCCCCTTTAATGGGGCTTACTCCGTGACAAGCGAATTCAGACGAACTGGTGGAAATTACGGAGTAGTCTCAAGATAAAATGTCAACAATGGCATTGTCCCTCAATTGAACAAAAATAATGTTGCATTAGCCGTGCGTTTCCTCACCTTATACTCCGTACTCTCTCTGTATTCCCCACGTACATTTACAACATCGTATTGTCAGAATTAATTGTCTTCCCAACCCCACCCCAGCCCATCCCACCCACCCGCGCGGGATGGACCTGTTTCACAATATGTGGCCAAACTTTCACCTTGAATGAAGTCTAGAATTTAGGTATCCTTTGTATGGTACGCCTATACAAAAGGTACATGCACGTGATATCTCAATATTCAGGACTTTGTTCGCCCTCGAGATAATGAGAGAAAACACAAGTACATGTATTTATTTTAAAGGATCTAATTTCTATTTTCCATGGCGAACTAAGACGGCAATATCAAGTGTAAGTAAAGTCAAAAACCATTGGTATGTCTTGATACAAGCGCAAAGCGGGTGGGGTAAAAAGACAATGTCGGGATCCGTGTGTATTCCCCACTTTTTGATGAATGGCCGTCGGAATGTCAAAGATAAAGGGGGGGGTTTACGCGCTATATATCGCTGTTACAACTATGCAAGTTGAGCAAACGAGATATTACGTCTTTTTTCAAGTCCCTTTCCCGCCTCTGACCAATTATACCCATGGCGTCATTCAATGAAGACGCAAGTCAGTTCAAAGTCCTCATAGCTGGTGGGAGTCTCGTGGGTCTAGGCCTAGCCCTAGCTCTTGAGCGTGCCGGGATCGAATACGAGCTTTTTGAAAAGGGAGAATTCGCAACACAACTGGGTGCCTCTATCGGAATCCATCCGCATACCATACGGATCCTAGAGCAGCTAGGAGTATGGAAAGATATTGAAAAGCAGGTTATACCTCTCCAGCGTCGAAACCATTATGATGGAAACGGCCATTGCTTTGAGGAGTCCCATGTCCTAGCGGATATCAATGAAATGTAGGTCAATATATAATTATCACTTGCCAGCAACAGGTGATGAAAGTGGACGATAAAAGGGATGCGCTAATATTGTAACTTTCTTGGGCGCATTATATAGTCTTCAACGCCCCATTATCTTCATGGAGCGATGCAAAGCTTTGGAGGTGCTACACAGCCATGTCCAAGACCGTTCGAAGCTGCATGCTCGAACTGCTGTCGTTGGATATGAAGAAACCCCAGAGGGCGTTATTGTCACCACCGAGGATGGCAAGCAGCATCAGGGTCACATCCTGATCGGTGCGGATGGAATCCACAGCAATGTGAGAAAGTTGATGGCCGACAAAATTAGCGTGACGAATCAGTCTCTCGCCAAGGAGATTAACGGGGGTTCGTTCGGCCTTTCTCTTTGCTAGCCACAGAATCCTTCTAATTGATATCTTCTGAATATAGCATTTACAAGCGAGTACGACTGCATCTTTGCTGTTTCCCGGAACGATCCCGAGAAGCAGTTCTTACCCGATGCCATGGTTCACAACGTGTACTATGATAACTACTCTGCAGTTTCAGCGGCTGGTGTGCATGGACTTGTGTTTTGGTTTCTTTTTGTTAAGGCTTCCAAACTTACGAGAACCCCCGACTGCCCTCGATTCACGGATGAGGACGCAGATGCAACGATCCAGAGGTATGGAAGCTCTCTAGTAGGCCCTGGCTATACTGTGAAGGATCTCTGGGATGCCCGAGTCAAAGGCACAATGGTACCCCTAGAAGAGGGCGTTATCAAACAGTGGAGTCATAGCCGGGTAGTTTTAATGGGTGACTCCGTTCACAAGGTTGGGATCTCCTGCGAACACCCAATAGCTGTTGGGAGTACACCATTTAACTAACTCTCTTCATTTTGGCAGTCCACAATCAACCCTGGATTAGGTGGCAACTTAGCTTATGAAGGTATCGCACGTTTGACCAATGGTCTCGTGCCTCTACTAAAAGAGAACCCCATGCCATCCCTTGAGCAGTTGACCGAGGTTTTCAATCAGTATGTCACTGGTCAGAAACCTCGGGCAGAAACAGTGGTCGACCTTTCCGGTCAGATTACACGATATGAAGCGCAAGATACCTGGATTCTCAAATTTGCAGCCCGTCACATTGTTCCCTGGGTTAGTGACAAACTTAAGGCAAAACTCTATGCCAGCTTCTCAAGAGGTGGTCCTCATTTGGAATATCTCCCACTACCTGCGATGGATGCAGCTCTGGAAAAGCCTGTGAAGAAGTCCAGCCGGGGCATTTTCCCAAAATTGATTACAGTGATGGTTATGGGCAGCACTGCTGGTATTTTATGGCAGATGCGTAACGATAACCCCTTGTTGTCCATATTGCCTACATTCGTAACATGGTGGAAGAAATGTTAGGCCGTGGCCACGGTTGCTGTTTTACAGATGAGACTAGCTAGTTAGGTAGAGCGCCAGCCGCGGCACCATGCGCACTCTTTGTGTCATATTGGTTTGAAGTATCTTTCGGGCTTTTATACTAGCCATAATCTACCTGGATTTGACGTTTTCACTTTTGGCAACAATCACTCTTTCTATATCAACAAAATCTTTTAAAAAAGGTTCATAAGAAGGTAAAATAACGCAAATACGAGGGTTCGTTAGTGGTCACGCACCTGGGTCAGCACCGTCTTAGTATTGCGTGACTCCCTAGGTCGGGTCAGTCATCTGGTGCGCGGTGCGGTGGTCGAATTAAGATTGTCCAACGCGTCGGTCGTTGTCGTTCCTGGCGCGGTTGTGCCAGGGGGCTCGGGAGCAGCCGCATGTGGGTCCGCCATCCTTTCCGCTCGGTATACGACAACAATTTCTCCGGAAGAGGATCGTCAGCTTTACTTTTCGGCTCCTCTGTTGTTTACAGGACCTGAGAAATAGAAACAGGATCTCGGAGGGGTACGGCATCAATCAATTACAGGATGGATAGATATCAGTTTCACCACTTCGCTATTGTAAAATCTCGAACACTAGTCAAAATAAGCTAGTACATTTCCGACTTCATTTATTTTAAAGTATTGAATCGTATTGAAAGACCTGATCATGCGCTAGCATGTTCAATAATGTACACATAATAATCTTGCTAAGAATATAAGCATCTAGTTAGCAGCACACTCTGAGCGCATTGACGAGATTCTCTCTACTTATCTTATAATCTGGTAGCGATGCTTATAAGAGCGATAAGGCCAACCAAAGCCTTTTAAGAAATGTGCGCTCAGCCAATACAGGATAGAAGATCGTTTTGGGAAGTACATATAAAGTATACAATGCATGGTAGATATAAAATACCTGAGCGTAAAGTATAATATCTATGGATCGATATCCAACTCCTTCATTCCTACTCGCTATCTGTTTCCCATTCCTCATCAGTTCCTCGTTCCAGTTCAGCTAACAGTATCGCATCCGTTTCCCATTCGAACAATGTTTCAGAGTTGAATAAAACTGTTGGATGATGCCGGCCAAGCGTCTGCTGCTGCTTATTTATGCAATTTCGTAGCAAGTCGATTGCTTCAGCATTGCGAGCAGAATATTTCCAGGTGACAGCGAGACTAGCCATCCTGGTCAACGTGTCGGGATGGTCCTCGCCGAGCTTCGTCTTGCTCGTTTCCACCAGCTGCACCTCGAGCTGCTCGGCCTCCTCCCATCGGCCCTGGGAACTATACGTCGACGCTAGGTTGGCTATACTAGCCAGCGTATCGGGATGATCCTCGCCGAGCTTCGTCTTGCTCGTTTCCACCAGCTGCACCTCGAGCTGCTCGGCCTCCTCCCATCGGCCCTGGGAACTATACGTCGACGCTAGGTTGGCTATACTAGCCAGCGTATCGGGATGATCCTCGCCGAGCTTCGTCTTGCTCGTTTCCACCAGCTGCACCTCGAGCTGCTCGGCCTCCTCCCATCGGCCCTGGGAACTATACGTCGACGCTAGGTTGGCCATACTAGCCAGCGTATTGGGATGATCCTCGCCGAGCTTCGTCTTGCTCGTTTCCACCAGCTGTACCTCGAGCTGCTCGGCCTCCTCCCATCGGCCCTGGGAACTATACGTCGACGCTAGGTTAGCCATACTAGCCAGCGTATTGGGATGATCCTCGCCAAGCTTCGTCTTGCTCGTTTCCACCAGCTGCACCTCGAGCTGCTCGGCCTCCTCCCATCGGCCCTGGAAACTATACGTCGACGCTAGGTTGGCTATACTAGTCAACGTGTCGGGATGATCCTCGCCGAGCTTCGTCTTGCGAGTCTCTATCGCCTGCACCTCGAGCTGCTCGGCTTCCTCCCACCGGCCCTGGGAACTGTATATCGACGCTAGGTTGGCCATACTAGTCAGCGTGGAGGGATGATCCTCGCCGAGATTCGTCTTGCGAGTATCCATCACCTGCACCTGGAGCTGCTCGGCTTCCTCCCACCGGCCCTGGTAATTGTATGTCGACGCTAGGTTGGCCATACTAGTCAGCGTGGAGGGATGATCCTCGCCGAGCTTCGTCTTGCGACTCTTCATCACCTGCAACTCGAGCTGCTCGGCCTCCTCCCACCGGCCCTGGGAACTGTATGTGGATGCTAGGTTGGATATACTAGCCAGCGTATTGGGATGATCCTCGCCGAGCTTCGTCTTGCTTGTTTCCACCAGCTGCACCTCGAGCTGCTCGGCCTCCTCCCATCGGCCCTGGGAACTATACGTCGACGCTAGGTTGGCTATACTAGTCAACGTGTCGGGATGATCCTCGCCGAGCTTCATCTTACGACTCTTCATCACCTGCAACTTGAGCTGCTCGGCCTCCTCCCACCGGCCTTGGGAACTGTATGTCGATGCTAGGTTGGATATACTAGTCAACGTGTCGGGATGATCCTCGCCGAGCTTCGTCTTACGACTCTTCATCACCTGCAACTTGAGCTGCTCGGCTTCCTCCCACCGGCCCTGGGAACTGTATGTCGATGCTAGGTTGGATATACTAGTCAACGTGTCGGGGTGATCCTCGCCGAGCTTCGTCTTGCGACTCTTCATCACTTGCAACTTGAGCTGCTCGGCCTCCTCCCACCGGCCCTGGGAACTGTATGTCGATGCTAGGTTGGATATACTAACCAGAGTATCGGGATGGTCCTCGCCGAGCTTCGTCTTGCGACTCTTCATCACCTGCAACTCGAGCTGCTCGGCTTCCTCCCATCGGCCCTCAGCTCGGTATACCGTCCCCAACATTTGTGTGCTATCGATGGTTTCTTCGTGTTCTTCACCTAACAAAATAATTCTGTGATATCTTGATTGAAATGCCATCTCTCTTGAATCCGCAATGTTTCCAATCTCCAACGCATACCATCCACCTCTATAAATCAACATGGCCCATTTCAGTAGACACTCAGGTGACGCTGGCTTTTGTGTCATTGCGGATTTGACATGAGGAAAGAGCGGCCTGCACCTCGCCCAGTTTGTATATCCACCAGTAGGAAACTCATTGTATAAAGTGCTAATGAATTGCTCCTTCCATTCATCTATTTTTCCATGAGATTTTAACCACGCGCGCGTAGTCAGTTGTACCAGCCGATGCATCGTAAAGAAGGTACTGTTTTCACTTATAGATATAAATGAATAGTCCCGAAGTATTGCGACGTCATCTTCAAAATCGGGACCTGAATCACTCTCAGATGTCTCCCCGTCACTGTAGTCACTTGCAAATTCTGAACTTGATATGTAGTTGGACTCAGGCTGATACCGGATAAGCTTCTCAGGTATTCCTTGCCGATCGAAGAAACTCATAAGAGAAAGCAACTGCGCAGCAGATGGCCTTTGCTGGCGTATATGATCGAAGGAAATTTGCCATGTCACTAGAACTGAATTTTTTGCTTCCCAGTCCCGATAGAGGTGACCGGCCTCTATTTCCAGAAGCTTTGTTGCTTTACGGTCACTGCGTTGGAAATCTCGTAGGTATTGTGATACTGAATAGCGAGGCCTCCGGCTTCGGATATAGCTAGCGGCCTGCACAATCGCTAGTGGCATGAACTCTAACGCGTTCACTAACTGTTGGCTCTCTGGGAATTCTTCTGCTTGATCAAGCTTTCTTTGGAGAAGTTCCAGCGCTTCAGGGCTTTCCATTGCTTCAACCTCAATCAGACCCTTATAGTCGACCATCTTCAATGCAACTTCTCTGGTTCGACTCGTGATGATAATAAATCCATTTCGGCTCCTAGGGACATATTCTAAGAGTGGTTTTGTCGATGCATTGGCGCTAATTGGATCACCCTTGCCTGCTACCGGAGCTGAGCAAAGAAGCTGATCGTTATCGACATTATCAAGGATACAAACCCAATTTCCTATCTTCTCATCCCGGAGCCAGTTTTCGACCAGTTTGAAAATGTTAGCTTTAGGGTCTTGACGACCCGGGATTTTAACCTGGTCCGCGATGTCCCGAAAACTTTGCTCAAATCGGGCTTTATTACTCGCATGGACCCAGAAAACCCATGTTGCCGGTGATGTTGATCGGACTTGGTAGGAGTATTCGATTGCAAGTTGGGATTTTCTTCGAGTTGTAAGCAATAGACCATGTAAAAACCGCAATGCCCTTACCCAATACCGCCGAGGCCAATAAGCGCTATCCTCGACCCCGCGACCGAGCTTTTAATATGGATCTGATCAAGCAGTGTATCGCGATGGACAAAGTCTGGATCGCGTGTGAATGGCACTGTTGACAAAGGGCTAGGCGGGGTTTCTGGTCGCACTAGAGGGAAGCGCAATTAGTCAGTCGGCCTCGACCTGTTCGTTTCCGTTCCTGACTTACCCGGAGGCAAATGAAACTCTGCCTTGATTAATCCTCGGTTATCTCCAACCTGAAGCCCATGGTTATTGCCACTGAATGATATCGATTCCATTATCAAACAAATGTTCGTGTAGTTCATAATGAAGGGACGTGATCTCTCAACTAAAGGAGGGGGCGCCCGTCAGGTGACTCTGCGGCACTAGGACAGGGAATCAGATTGGCGGACAGCCCACATCGAGTCTTCTGTTGATTCTGTATGGGACCATCTTCCGGACAATTGGGTTGACCCTCCCATAAAACCCAGATCAGTTGATATGGCCGAGCTAGCAGGGAACGGTCCGGTCCTTGCAAACGCCATGTTTTGAGGTCGGCAGCTTTTAGATGGGTCACCAATCCCGGTGTTTACTCCTCTATACATTCACCTGTTCCTAAGTGGGAGTTATTCCGAGGCGCGGAGAGAGAAAGATTATACGGTCGGCTTTTTTCTTCTTTTTTTTGGGATAAAACAGTTTGACTGAATTATAAAAAAATGATAAAACATTGAAGTTATAAATCGTTCGTTCAATTTCCAATTGTAAATAATGTCACGACTTCCTGAGAAAAATTGTAGCCAAGACCAGACCAAAGAGTTATGACTGCAACAACACGTAGTGAGGAACAATCAGTACGGGAGGGGAAGGACAAGTCAGCAGTTCAGGGGAAGTGCAGGATATTCAGGTGTAGAATAGTGGTGTTCAGGGCATTCAGGTGAATGGGCTGAATGGGCTGAAGAGTAGGGCGACAAGAGGGACTTTCCAAAGAAGTAAAGTAAACAGCAAAAACAAAAACATACAACAGTGAGGATTCGCTGGTGGTCACCCACCCAACTACTAACTCACCGGCGTGTGGCTTAAGTACGGCTGAGCGGACGGGAAGCCCTGTTTTCCACACCCTATGGTCGTATGTGTCAGGGTGTATATGAGGCAGGATCATGAAGTCAGTAATGGGAATGCCGAGGTGGTTGGGTTGTTGGCGTGTGTAACGTCAGTATAAAATCATTATATGGCATTGCACGATGTAAGAATTGGCTCTGCTCCTCGTAATTACGGCACTCAATATAACTACTTGAATTCGGAATGGACTTCGAGAATTTAAACAGCATATCCACTGAGAATATTAGGTGATTGTCGTACGATATGTTGTATGACTTCGGCTTAAACAGTTCGGTGCTCGCGTTCCCGAATCCCCGACCCCGAGGTATTGCGTCCCGCTGACTCATCGGAACTCGGCCCCGAGATCTGCCCCTGTCACTCGACAGCTTCCTAAATTCTGAACCTTTAGACCATTGGACTAGATTATCAAGCGCATAACTATCATCATGGCTGAACATCCTTCCTTCACCCTTGCCGCCCTTCGTAAGTACCGCGCGCTACGAGACAAGTTTCTCAGATATCTCTGACCAAAACTAGTGCCTATTGGAGGTACCGTTGGCTTTCTGCGAACCCGATCAGCGCCTTCTTTGATTGCCGGTGTTGGGCTTGGTGTATCATATGCCTATTCTGGTAAGTGAAGACCCTCGCCGTCACGTGCCAAAATTCTGTGAAACTGACCATGTTGCCAGGTTATTTGATCAAGGAGAACAAGGACTACGGCACTGAGCTCGCCCTGGGAAACAGCATCCTCCTTCTGGGCTCTGCAATCCCTAGGATCATTAAGACCAAGGCTAGGGCTGCTATGCCTCTCGCTCTTGGTGTCACTGGATTGTTGGCATCTTTCTACTACCAGAAGAAGGTGCGGGAGTTCCGCTTCGGAGTCTAGATTCTACAATTTCATAGATATTACTCAATCAACAGCACATATGCTTCGCTTAGAGGTACTGCCAGAATTGCTGTACTGAGAATCAACCTGGCGGTATAAATGTAAGTAGTGTACCAAAATTTAAGAATCACGTCACAGGTCCAGCATGAAAAGAACCGCAATGCCATGTTCATTACTCCGAATTACATTGGCATTCTGAACACCCTTCCAGAGTAGGGCCTAGATGCGGATCTATCTAGGTCAACCTGAACGCACTGTATTAATTAACTAGAGTTGTCTATCATAATTGGCCTTTTCGCAACTCATCTACACTACCTCAAGCTTGATCTTATCGCAGCATTACGTCAGCCTTCTCAGCCTCGTCCTCGATTTGCTTAAGATCTTTGGCCGTACTCTGCAGGAGCCCAAACTGTTCCTTATGTTCGCAAGCTAGCACAGCAAGCGTCGAAGACTTCCACAGAGGGACACGGCGGCTCTGACGATTGCTAAAGATAGTCAAGATGGCGAACAAAATCGCTAACGCCTCAGTTACAACGGGAACAACGAAGTACCACCAGCGAATGGAAACAAATGCCTCGCTCTGAATCACTTCTCCATGCGCAGACTGGGTATTCGGACCATACCGCAGATAGTCTGTCATGGCAGTCGCCATTTTGTTGAACCGGGCTCCAAGGTCCACGTCACCAATTAGAGCAGCAGCGACACCAAGGTTCGTATTGGCGAAGTTCCCCTCAACCCACTCGGTAACCATTGTCGTGGACTCCAAGAAGTTTACCAGCGCGATGAGACCGGGGAAGTTTATTTCAAGCGCAGGAACATGAATACCACCGCTAGTTGTTGTCTCGTTGGTGTGCGCCTGCTGGAGTATGCCCTGGTTTGGTTTGGAGGTGATCATCCAGGGATTCTTCAGTCCGAGATCGACCTCTCGCCTGTTCACAGAGAAATCACTACCATTGGCCTGGGCACCTGTGTACTCGTAGACCGCGAGAAAGAGAGAGCATTCTGTGATGTTGACGTTGCTCACCACAAAGTTGCTATCCGGGGTCGATCTATAGATTGCAAACCGCGCGATTTCGGGAAATGTATCCGACAACCCACCTTTGGGGGCATTCAGCGTGGAGGATACATTCATATAGTATGTTGTCGCTAAATCGGTAAACCAAAAGCGAGTTGCAACATCAACTCCGCCTGGTGTTGTCATATTGCATCGATGCAGCGCATATTCACCACCCCCACAGGTGGCCGTTTGCAATGTTTCCCGGGTGACGTTTCTGCACTCTGACTTAAACCCAAGTGATATGTATGATTCGGTCCAGCGACATCTCCCGGGGCAGTTGAAAGGTTCTGTGGTGTTGATACCATATATGCCCTGGTAGATGGCGGACTGTAAACTGGGATCCTGCGGGATGCTCTCTAGTCCGAAGAATGTTAGCTGCAATTGTGATTTTAGTTGTTTAAGGGTTCAATGCTTACCGCTACGGGAGTTAAAAAGGCGATTCTGTGCAGCGAGGTTGTAATTGTACGCATATCCGAATGTGGCTGTGCCGGCAGAAGATATGACGTCCCGCTGCTTAATCAGAACCACCTGTTGTGCGAATGCCGAGAAAGAAAGCCGCAAGATCGTAATTAGTGCGCCGATGGTAGCTATATTCCACGTCACGGTAGTAAGCAGCATAATAAGCAGCTGGAAAGATCCCCAAGCACCACGACTCGCTTCGTCAAAGGTTTCAAGGTCAGTGAGCTTTCGAGGCCCGTTCTTGAAGTGAAGCCATTTAGACTGCCCAATAAATGCGCTAACCCCGTACATCAACGCCGCCGTGCATGCAGTTGTCAGGATAGAAATTGTCGCGTTGAGAGAGATGACGGCATGCCAGGCAGAGAGGGGCTTGTTGTCCATATACCAGAAGATAATGCCAACTCCAATGAGGAGGCCCAGGGCCAGAATCGAAGTTAGCAACTCCCAAAGCCATTCTTTGCGCGAGTACACTGCATGGCGCTTATATTCAGTGGCGGTCGCGGTTTGTGGCTCGGAGTCAACTTCAGAAATCCAAGCAGGCTCATATCGATGGGTTGTCTGGTTACTGTCAACACCGGGCATGGTGACAACCTGTGCCTAAGGACCTGTGGTGGAGCTTTTGTGCGATATACTCAACATGAAGATGAGATAACGCGACGAACTACGGTGCGTAAGGGTGCTTGGTTGGATTTATTCCTCAATTCTGGCTTGGAGCAAAATCAGCGTAAAAGTCATTTGGTGTTTCTAGGATGAGCTTTTATCAAAACCTTTGTATGCCTGTCCTTCGGGGGCCAAACGCCAAGAAATGAACTACTCGTATCCCTACCAGGGTAGAAGCAGTTCGCCTGCAATTGATGGTGGGGAATTCCGAGCCCAAATCACAAGGCCATAAAGATCAGGTTGGAAATATGAACTGCGATCATGTTTGCGGCTGAAGACAAGCATGGCAAACAAAATTAGGGTCCTATCTCGTATTTCCCCACCCGGCCCCCACAACGATGGAGTTGGCATCGTTGATTATCGCGAAGTTAGCCTATCAGAAAGGCTGCATTCATCCCTGTAGGGGGCCAAATCGCCTCATCGAGGTCATCTTGGCGTCCCTGAATTATCCTTGCCGCTGCTGCCCCTAAAATACCACCCAGGCTTAGGCACAAAAGTGTTTCTTTCATGGAGTCTAGGGTCATGTCATGCGCAAGCTCTGAGGGATGCATATGAGAAAGCTGTGGTTATTTACGGAGTGGCTGAGTCGCAGTTATACCTGCATACATGTAGTAACCTAATTAAACCGAAATTGGCGTCATATTGCGAGATACATACTGCTGGTCCAAGCTCAGCCCTGATTTTCTCACTCGACAAAATCAATTTACGCTACCTCTTTCCAATCTTCATGCATTATGACCTTCCTAATTCAGGCCACACCACAGATGACGACTAAACAATGATTAGTATGGGTAAGTGATACGGATAAATTGAGAGTTGAATCGAATCATTGATTGCACCCTAGTTAGCCCCATCCTTCACGGTTCCTTTGCTTCTTCGGGAATTTATTGCGCACAAGATAGAACAGATTCACCATGAATATAACGTATTCGGCAAGCGAGTGGCCATCTCCGAAAACACATAGTAATTGCGATAAATTACGTCTTGATATCTCAACAAACATAGTCTATATGGAAATTTCCTAATAGATTAATCCTTTTTAGGTAATATATAGAGGCTCTAGGAACCTTAGAAAATATTTACAGCTTGGTGATTGAGATATATATATTTCTGACTTTGAGCAACGTAATTTTCAATACCATAATAATGCAGCATTTTGATTTTCTTGAAACTGATATAAACTGTCGAGAACTCTTATCGGTAGCTATCAAATAAGAATGAAATCAAATAACAATGTGGCTGTTGAGATATCGAGATGTAATGTATCGCAATTACTATGTGTTTTCAGAGATGGCCACTCGCTTGCCGAATACGTTATATTGTGGTGCCCGAGAATTCAGGCTCAGGTAACGTTAGTAGTTAACTAGAATTTTCATAAAAATCTGTTGAGTTAATATCAAAATACGCTAATTCATGCTAGACCTCCATAAACCCCTTAACCATGTGAATAGGAGTATACATCTTCCCACTGTGTGACCAAGAACCAGTGGGATGCCAAATCTAAACCATGTAGAAGGCTGTAAGATTGTGGCCTTCGGCGCTACTATCGCATTGCCACGATTATTCGTAGATAAGTCTCCCCCTAGCTTCCCCGTAAACGCGTGAATAGCCTCCAACATGATCCTCACTGTCATTTCTGGTTGACTCAGAAAGGGAGAATGGCTTGTCTGAAGCTCCCGATGCTCCACACTACCACCCATTTCCTTTGCCATGCCCACCTGTATGCGTTGTACTATCACAGGCAAGCCCCTATCCTCGGTGGTGCCAACATACCAGACAGGTACATCTTTCCAGCCGGCATATGTGTATTTTCCCCCTTCGAATAATGCTTTGAGGCTCTGGGTAGTAAGTTGCGAAACCCAGAATTCCGCCTCGTCTGCTGGCAAGTCGTGATAGAAAAGCCCACGTGGAGGAACGACAAGTTCGGCATATCCGGTCTCGTTATTGACCCGCCAGGAAGGAGGAGGATGGCCGAAAAAAGGATCCATAAAGGAAAGCCCAGTCAGAGTAAACCCGGAGGCTATGAGGATTAAACCAATCACATAGCCCATTGTTGTGGTTTGAGTTTGGCTTTCTGCGATGTCTTGGGGCTTTGTGAGACCCTTGATAGCACTATTGCCAACCATGCCGCCATACGAGTGCGCAACGATTACAACATTGCGTCCATGGATTGTCTCTGTCAAAATAACCTCGCGTGCAGCATCGAGATCATCCTTGAAGGTTGCGGCTGGGTTTCCCGCCGTCGAAGGCAGAGTTATCGAGATGCATTTCAACTTATGCTGGCTTTGGAGGAGCTTGATAACCTCATTGTAGCATGTAGGCTTATGCCAGGAGCCAGGTATGAACACTAGCGTTGGTAGGGTGGACATCTCGGGGTATAGATGTTACTTGCAAAAATGAGCTGTGATGGTTTATTTCTGTAGAGATATATCCAGGGCTTGGATCGATGAGAATAAAGGCAATTAGGTAGGCCGTGAGGATCACGTGTTTTAGACAGTTCCCATTGGCCAATGCGGTTCCTGTTTGGTGGCTCCGATAGTCGGATCCGATGCAAGCGGCTCCGTTGTGGGGCTCCACCAAATAAGCTCAGTGGGAACCGCCCAGGGTTCCATCAAAGTATCAACGCTGGAATTGGCGGAACCGATCGCAACATGTTGTATAAATTGACATCACGTATTATCTCTATCTAAACTGGACGTAGAATCTTAAGACACACATATACACTGCCTCCTTTGATCTACCAGCGCCCACCTTCAATCTTGGGTCGTATGTTGCGATTGTGAATAATATCTGGATCCTGAAGGGAAGAAAACGGTCTAAATCATGTTGTCGCCACTTTTCCTGTTTGTTATTCTTTTTTTCGTCTTTTTCTCTACGAAAATTATTTCGAACGTCTACTTCCATCCACTTCGCAACCTCCCTGGTCCTAAAATGTGGATTGCGTTTCCTATCAGTCGGTTTATCGCCCTTTCACGAGGTCAATTAGACGCCAAAATGCGAGATTTCCACAAAACATATGGTGAAGTCGTTCGCTTCGGTCCGAACGAAGTATCTTTCATCACCGCTCAGGCATGGAAAGACATATATGGTCATGGCCATCAACAGCTACCAAAGGTGCTGCATTCAACCAGTAACCCGTGCGACATTGTGAGCGCCAATGATGCAGATCACAGTCGCCTGCGAAAGTCTTTAGCACATGCCTTTTCTGCGAAAGGCCTGCAATCCCAGGAGCCCATAATCACTAAGTATGTGGATTTATTGATAGGAAAACTGAAAGTCCTCGCCGACTCATCCAACCCAGAAGCCGATATGGTGAAATGGTACAACCTGACCACATTCGACATACTCGGAGATCTCGCTTTTGGAGAGTCATTTGGAGGATTAGAATCTTCTGAATATCATTACTGGGTATCGATCATCTTTCAGGCAATCCGAGGAATGTCCCTTGTGCAATTTAAGGATGCCTATCCGCTTCCATTCAAAATATTGTCACTTTTTGTCGGTTCGAAATGTCTGATGAATGCACGGCGAAGGCAAATTGAATTTAGCCGAGCCACTGTTCAGAAACGTCTCCAACTTGAAGGTCACAGAGAATGCACAGACTTTATTGGTAGCATGTTGCGCCAGCGTGGAGACCCAAGCAAAGAAATCACCGATGAGGAGTTAGAAGCGAACTCTAATGTTTTGGTCATTGCTGGCAGCGAGACGACAGCTACTTTACTTTCTGGAGTTACATACTGGCTGCTGCGCACGCCGCACGCCATGGAAAAAATCACTCGCGAAATAAGATCTGCTATGAAAAGCGAGAATGACATCACAATCTCAAGCACCGCAAATCTGCCATACATGCTCGCATGTCTCAAGGAGGCATTGCGAATGTATCCACCGGCGCCCTCTGGACAGCAGCGGATGACCCTTGGGCCTGAACCATCTCGAATTTCGGGCTACACCATGCCCCCAAACGTAAGAAACAAATCCCCCCCCACCGGGGCCAATACTATTTTTGTTTCCAACCGAACAATGGCTGATGTTTAGCAGACAAAAGTCTCGGTCCATCAATATGCCGCATATCGTTCACCCATCAACTTTCATGCTCCAGACAAGTTCATACCCGAGCGGTGGCTAGAGAACACCAGAGCCAATCGTTACTCGCCTTTCTGTAACGATAATCGAGATGTCCTCCAGCCATTCTCAGTAGGGCCAAGAAACTGCATTGGGAGAGAGCTTGCATATAGCGAGTTACGGGTTATTCTTGGGCGGATACTTTGGAGTTTTGACTTGGAGCTTCACGAGAAGAGCGCAAAATGGGATCTACAGCGTTCATACTTATTATGGGAGAAGCCCCCGTTGATATGTAAACTGAAAAGGAGCGATAAAGAAATCTAGTGAATAGGTCGTTAGAATTAGCTTGCTCTGCTAAGGAAAATGAATCCAGCATGGACGGGGTGCCGGCTTTCTTGGTACTATGGATAAATTTCAGTTTCATCAAATCCATCAACTTGCTGTTGCCTAATACCAAAACAACTTTACTGTCTCATCTGTGTATGTTAAGGGAGTGTAGGTATGAGGCAAAATTGAAATACCTGATCACTGAAACACTGGGACGTAGTTTGGCCTTGACATAATGGTATAGAAAGAATTAATATTCGTATATATCTGCATAGTCATGTGCGATTGAATTTACGACAATGGTACCACGTCTCGTGATTATTGAGCTTACGAGCCTTCGATGGCCTCAAATGTTGAGCCTACCAATACCACCGGTGAAGAACCCTGCAAGGATCTCTCGTCAACGGATGTAGAAAGAACTACATGAAATTCCTATATTACGGAATCGACGGTGGGAGGAAGGAAGGAAACGATGAGATGTACGATCTAAGTAGTAAGCAATAGGTGCTAATTTTATAGGCCATCTGACCAGTACGCCAAATCCTCAGCCGCCAGAGACGCCACACTCGGATACGCCCATTCCTTGGGGTCAACGGATCCGACCTCCTTTGCGGACTGCAAATAGCTGTAAAACTTGGTTATAGCCTCGGCCGACCCCTTGGTCAACGAGTGGAGCCCTTGAAGCCGGTGCCGAGGGTCACAGAGATGCCAGGTGACATAACCTTGGCAAAATGTGCACAGTGTGTGTAGAATCCCGGGATCCTTGTCACGAAAGACGCCTAGGAGCTGCTCCGAGCTTACAATTATATCATTGGTCAAAGTCTTGAGGCCTTCCTCCAGAGTAATCTCGTTGCACTGAGCATAGTTGTTGACCAAGCTCGTCTGGTTACGCGGCTCTTCAAACTCCTCATAGACGGACAGCAGGTCATTCACACAGGCAATCCACTTTTCTATTTGCGTAATGATGGCTGTTATTTCTTCAAACAGCTCGTTCTCGTCGAATCGTTCCTTCGGGAAGATGGAACCCCCAACGCATTGTCCTAGTTTGCTCATTTGTCGCAGAAACATCGGGCTGTTCAAGGACTTGGGGAACCCCATAAGGTTATATTGCTCAACCCAACAGCCCTGAAAGTCTTTCCACGTCGCAGTCAGTATCATGTGCGGGAGGAAAGGGGGTGTATACGTACAGTCTGTTGTTGAGCGAACCATATTCAGCCCACAGAAGGGGCCGTAGTGCCGAAGAACCAGGGGGAAGTGGTTATTCACCATTTGCCACCACGGGTGCTCCTGAGGTAGACCGGCCATTATGGTGTTATAGAAAGACTTCATGCTATCTGTGGGGTTGTCGTCATGGCTGTGGTCAAGGACGAGCATATATGTGTAGTGAATGCTCAGGTCGACCATGACCTTTTCCGAGGCTGTGGCCCAACTATACACAACCATGGTAACCATGGCCTGCACCAAGGGTTGCAGATTAGTTGGGCTCACCTTGATGTGCTTCTGTCTGTTGTAATGAGCAAAGTGCTTGGCCGTCTTAGTATACACATGGTGGAGCTTAGCAAGGCGCTCTTCAGGCGTATAATTAGTGTCGTTGTATTTTATCCTGTCCAAAAACCGAACGACACAGTTGAAATAGTACTCAGTGGGGAAGCCTTGACTTGTCATGGTTACTGCGTCTTGAGAGGCAGAGCTTGATGCGGACGACAGGATTCCTTTACGAGATGTTGGCAATGGTATGGGACCCACGGAGATTACACCCAGACAGACTTAAATAATAACCGTGCCTAGTCAGCCCATTTTCTGTGTAGCATCCATTACCTCAGTCGTACTAGCGGCAGCACCTTATTTTGCCAGCAAAGAACGGTAACGAAATTGAGATGTAATCTATTGTATTTATCTCCTAATTGAGCTTGGCATCCCTACCAATACGGGGATGACCCATTGTGTAGGATATATATTTATGCTGATTGCTGGCCATATCCTGAAGTATTCTGAAGAAAAAACACGAATTATGCCATCCATGAAGGTATTATTGGCATGGGGGGTCGCTTTTGATTGTGCCCTTCACCTCTTTCACAATCTGATTCAAGTGGATTCGGGAATAATTGAGAAAAGGAAGCCTATCCAAGATAGGCCGCTATCGTATGACTAGTACTGAACAGTGAATAGTTGATTAATTAGAATGATATAGCACTTTGCAGTTCCATGATAGGAGTACGGAGAATATACGTAATGTCCCACCAGGGATGTTAAACCTATTGGGAATTACCTAGGAACTACCGGGGCTCTAGAACTCCGGGGGTAGAATCTATCTATCCAGGTAGGTAGTTATATACTTGTACCATTCTAGTAACAAACTTGCCTTACCAACGTTGTAGTCTATAATACTTTTTTACCTTCTCAATTGGACTATTTGCGATATCGGGTTAAAGAGGATATAAAAAGGTCCGTTAAAAGGCCTACTAGAGACAGAAAATGCTAATAGCAGAACCAAGGGACTGCTTAGAGACAGCTCTATTGAATGATACTGTTCCATATCAGGTATTAATTATCCAAGTGTTATTTGGCGGGATTATCCTATCTTCAGATGTTGGACTATATCCACTCATTTGCTTGATCGCCTAACTCCATGCAATCTGAATGCTGCTTGAATGTACCCAATTTAGTCTCTCCCAATCCCCTTCCTTTGTCTCTTCTGTCTGGAGGTATTAGGTCATTTACCGCGCAACGACCGATACATCCGAATACTGTGAAATGATCTCCTGAATTGGAGTAGGTGAAGTTTGGCGAAGCCCAAACCCCAAAAAGGCGACGATGGTTCGGTGAACAATTTCAAATGCTTTGAGCCCATCCAACGCTCCAACCATCGTTTGGATGGCTGGAACCTTTTGAATAGGGAGACCTAGGAGATGCAATAGGAACGGTAAGTCGGAGAATGTGTAATGTTGAGCCTTAGCCAGTTCCAGCTCTAATCTCCATCCTCGCAGATTGCGCCAAAACTCCTTCCACGTTGGGTCTGTCATCTTGGTTTTGTTTTCATGTCCGAAGAGAAGAAATGGACCCCGAAGCCCTTGTTGAACCACTGATCCAAACATAGACCCGTCCAGGTTCGCTCCAGCGACAATCCGATGGTCCAAATGCATGGCCTCGGCAGTGGCCGCACCCCCAACTGAATGACCGTACATCGCGACTTGCCGAGTTCTCAACCTCGCGGCACCCGTTCTAGGGAGTAGAGTAGCTACCCCAGCCTTGGTGCTCAACTGATCCAGCACGAAGGACACATCTCGCGCTCGGGTCTCGACATCCAGTGGAACCTGCGCATCACTGATGTTTGCTGCAGTCACGACGCTTCCGTCCGGGAACTCGAGGAACTCAGTATCGTAGGGGTGGTCGATAGACACCACGATGTACCCGGCGCTGGCCACAGCCTGTGCAATGGCATTGTAGAATAGACGCGTCGTGCCGAGAGCAGGCGAGAAGAGAACAACTGGAAAGTGGAGATGATGGCCTCTTGGCGCCTCTGGGCATGTCTGGAAAGAGATGGATTGAAGCGACCCGTTTGGAAGTCCGTATGCGCCATATAGGTCGGAGTAGTATGCGGCAGTTGCGGGGGGTAGGTAATCTATCTTCTCCAAATCGACTTTGCAGTGGGTGGGAGCAAATATTGAAGTCATCACTGCGCGTGGTCTGTGATGGGGATCAAAGGGATCGAGTCTGTTTTTTTCGATCATTTTTGCCGTGTTGTAAAACACATCATATTGTCCGGGTGGGTTGGGGATCACCACTGCAGATACAGACATGCCCAGTATGGGCAGCAGGCTAAGAATTTGGAGCATCATCAGTCACCAGAAGACGCAATTGAGGATGGAAGAGGTATAAGAATAAAGTCTTCTGAATCTTGCTGAAGTAGATGATAGAATACCAACAACAAAGGCTGGAGGACCACCTTGACCTTTATACAGTTAGAGTATTGGGCCGGCATTCTACCTGCTCGCAATACTCCCGTAGCAACTTTTCTCCCGACCAAAGTCAATGAATTTCCCGAATAGGAATTTATAGAGCGTGAGGTGATCAGATCCACATTAGTCACCCAGAACAGTTGGGTAATCTTGGAACCTTCCAAAGTGGGAAACAAAGTGGGTCCTTGTCTCGCGATATTACATCCTAATCGGGTTAGCCCCATCGGGCACATCGCTGCCTGCTGGCGGACCAGGCAGGTCTCGCTTTAATATATCCATTTTCATCGTAGTGCTCATCAGGGATACGCGCCTTTTATGTGTTTGCTAGAAAATTTCTCAAGATCATGTCCACATCAACAACATTACAGGGGAGAATGGTCGGCCCCCTGGACAAACGAAGGCGGATGACGCGCTGCCTCGGCTGCGCCAAACGACGCATCAAGGTATGGGACCTGAAACTCCAATTCCATAGGGTCAATGCAGCTAACTCTTAGTAGTGCGAAGGGGGATTTCCCTGTGTTCATTGCTGTCGACAAAACACGATATGCATTGCCCAGCAGCACTCGGGACATGGTATGACCAAGTTTGTCAACAAAAACCAGCAAGATGATTTTTGTGCACGCCGTCAAAGTTCGTATCAGAACAAGATCTCTATTCCCAATAGGAAAGCTCCCGGGGTTCATCCACTCGATTTCATCCGAAAAGATGAGGGTACCCGCCTTCTCCATTATTTCGCTTCTTTTATTCAGCACAACATGTTCACGATGAGCTTCGCATCCATAGTTTCGGACTTACTTCCCTTAATTTCAACATCACCGGTTCTGTACCATGCAGTGATAGCTGTTGGTGCTATGGATGCGAACCGACATACCGGTGGACGCGTATCAAAGGGAGAGAAATCCCCCTATGTCGATGCTATGACCTCTTACCATAGGTCAATGGGTATTCTGCAGCTTAGTCTGGGAAATAGAGATGTGATGCAACGGGAGGATATCCTCTGGGCTATATTTTTCCTGGGGTTGTTTGAGGTATTCTTCTTGTCAGGAAGGGCATCCTCTGCCGGATGCATTAAATACATGTTTGACTGACATCAATACGCCTAGTTGCTCTCGGACGAATCCGGTGAAGGCTGGGTTAAGCACATGCTCTATGGAACATCAAAAATGCTACAGCTTGCAGGACCAACCAATTGTATGTCATCGGCCCGAAGGATATTCTACGACCTGTTTCGTGTTCTAGAAGCCAGCCGAGCATTACTCTATAATGAAGAAACTATCCTTTCCCAGCAATGCTGGTTTGCACTCCAAAAATCTCTGTCAAGCAGTGCCACTCTATGGGACCCCATGGAAGAAATTATAACCCTCATGATCGAGACATCTGCCTTCAGCCTGCGGTAAGCCCGCCCTGATGAATGAGCTACTTGGTCTATTTTACTGATCCCATGAACAGAGCCGGTGCTATAATTGAGAAGATTCCAGAAGCGGAACGGTTCACAGATCCATCAGTTGCTCTGATCGCAGCTGAAGGACTCGATGTCCAAGAAACTATCTATAACTGGCACACGAAAGCGTTGCTGCAGCTTGTCCAGGACGGTCCCAATCATTATTCGAACTTAGCTTTGCTATATTATCATGCTCTGCTAATCTTTGTGTCTGGAAATTATGATTATTTCCCATACTGGGACAATATCGCAGCCCCAGTATTATCCCATGCTGAAATTTCTGAACACCTTACTACGATAGTGTATCTCTCGAGCGAAGTGCTGTGTCACTCCAAGATTGCAGGTGTGATGTTGCTCTTCCCATTAACCGTCGCAGGAGCTAGAGCCTGGAGAGTTGACCAAAGATCAGAGATACTGAATCTGCTCAACCAGATCTTCTGTAAAGGATTCATGGTTGCAAACAGGATACGGGATAATTTGTTAGAACGATGGGACTACACCGACCGGAAAGGGATAATTAATTTGCCCACATGAAATAATAGCTACGCCTCAATCTCCCGGGCCTAGGCAATGGGGTGATCTAGGTTTTATTCGACCAAAGTACACAATTAAACATCAAATAGAGCCAAACCCAGTGGTGCACATGCACGTCCAGTTACATTCAGTCTGACCCATGATCGAAATGCTGCCGACCTAGCTCTTCTGTCTCCATAGTCAATTCCTTCACGAATAGAGAACTCAAAAATCCTAATGCTCCAAATGCTGCCAGTTCATACCATATTGTCTGCATGGCATCCTTATATGCATTCCGAATGAGGTCCCTCAGGGAAGTGGAGATGTCAACTGTTCGTAAATAGGGGATAAAGCTCACAGCCTCGTTGGGGTCTTTCAACAATGCCAAAGAAGCAGGCAATGCGATGCCTTCAATTCTGTTGGCGAAGACACTGCTGAATGTAGTAGCCCCAACCGCAAGACCGATGAGTGCACCAAATAGCCTGAAAGCAACCATTATTCCCATAGCAAGACCCTGGTCATCAGATGCAGCGCTAGCTTGCATTGGAATTGGAGGGACACTGAATATTGTGCCGATGCCAATCCCCGCAATCACCTGGAAACCAGCAGTCATGGCTTTCGGGGACGATAGGTCCCATACTGAGAAGATACCACAGCCAACGGCCAGAAATACCCATCCAATCCAAATCTCCCATAAATATTTTCGGAAGAAATCAACAGCGAAGGCTGCAATTCCTGTAAAGACGAAGACCACACAGCAGAATGGCAGGATCGAGATGGAAGATTTGAATGGTGTTTCGAGATAGACAGCTTGAAAAAACAGTGGAAGATATTGCAAAAGAGTATAGAGCACGAATCCATGGATGAAGCTTCCAAGCAGAGTCATTTGAGCCGTTCTCGAAGCAAATATACGGTAGGGGAACACAGCGTCGGTCTGATATCCCTCGTAAAGCGCAAACCCCACCAAGATAAAAACGCCAACGATCAGTGGGACTATGGTTCTCCACGAGCCCCAAGGATACATATTCCCTGCCCAACTAAGAGGTAGAGCGAGAAGAACACAACCCGCCGTAAAGAGTAGCATTCCAAACCAATCGATACGGCCAAGCTGGGAGCGGAGCGACTGGTCAATTGGTTTCAGGCGCATAAAGAAGATTGCCAAAAAGAGGGCAACGCCGATTATAGGGATATTAATCCAGCCGATCCATCGCCATGTAACATGCTCACTAAAGACTGCACCAAGAATGGGGCCTGCGATACACCCTGCAGCCATCGGAAGTGATAGTAAACCGACATACACAGCCCTTTCTTGTAGAGTAGTGATATCGGCCACAATTACTTCACTTAGGACGTCTAGTCCGCCTCCACCTAGTCCTTGTAGCACGCGCCCTACAATGAGAACTGCCATTCTATGCGCGACGGCGAAGACGATTGATCCAATACCAAAGAGCGTAAAAGCCGCGTAAAGAGGGATCTTACGGCCAAAGATGTCCGAGAAGCTGGTATAGATAGGCTGAATGACCACCACAGCTACCGTAAAGGATATGTTGGCCCAAAACGCGGTTAGAGTCGTCCCCGAAAGGTCATCAGTGATAGCCTATTGAGAGAAAAGCGGTACATCAGCTGAATGGTCCTTTGAACCAATTGACTGTGCATAGAGTTACCGGTATTGCAACAGCCAACGTGGTGGCATCCAAGGACACCAAGAAGACCATCAATAGCAGAGCTGTGAAGGCGAGAAAGAATGATAGAGGTTTCTTCTTTCCACCCTGCTGTCCTGTTTCCGGGTCGTTTGGTGGTAACGCATTCGATGTATCCCTTTTCTCCGTATAGTCACATTCAGACTGGCATTCAGACTGTGGTAGGCAGTGAGACTCAGATCGAGTTTTGAGGTCTGCGAAAGATGACTCGTCAGAACATTCTTCCGTGCTCGGTGGCGCGGTTTCTATCGGTAATGACATTCCTTTGGTACCTTAGAATAAACGGAAGGTTGATACTAGAATTCCTCTACTGGGGAAGAAACCTAACTACAAATACGCGCATAGCCTGCTCCCTGCCTAGATAGGCTGATCGAAATGATTGGTAATGAGGTAGATTTGTAATCTACCATCGTCTCACGGGGTATCCTGTTGTTGCATTCAAGATTTTCAGTAATAATATTGGAGGAAATGGTGCGATATAATCCTTGTCGTTGGGATTTATCTTGCTGCTAGCCGAAAATAGCCTTGGAAAGAAATAAGACTTTAAGCGGGCCGGCTGAATGTGGATTGTGGAGGTTAACAAAGCCTCAAATTACAATAAAATCGGGAAATCAACCAAATCCGCTCGTAGTTTTCCCTCCGATTGCTCTTTGATTTTTCTTTTTCAGGGCGATAGATGCGTTGGGCAATAAAGCCTACACTCGTAATGCAGCCACCAACTTCCACCTTTGTTGAACGTGGTGGCTTTTTCCGACGCACCTCCGAGTATCTCGGACGCGTCATTGATTAGTTCCAATATTCAATGAACATCATCCAATTAACACCTCCGTGCGTTTGTACATTGCATATGGAGGAATATGTTTTCCGTCCCGTGGCTAATCCGGACCCATGGACCGTGCCCGTGATGAGTAACACTGCAGCGGTTTCACTTAGCAAATTATTAGATGATTGTCTTGTGTAGTTTTATAGATGTACCATACTCAATGGCTAATTTTGTTACATTGAACACCAAACATACGCAACTGTTTAACAAATGGCACTCAATTACTATGTCGGACAGCCTTCCAAGGTAGGTATAGAGATCTTTTGCAGTTTGTTTTAGACAGGTAGATTTCAAATTTATGTGGGTTGCTGAGCGTAAACATGCGACAGTGATATATTGATAGGGATCCCAAGTTGCGAACGTGCAGACTCCAGAAGGAGTTAACCTACACGTCCGCCGGATCGGCCTGAATCCTGTGAACGTGCTATCCATGAACGATGAATGAGGTAAACACTGAAGAACTTATATTCGACCAGTCAATGATTGTTGTTGAAACAAAAGCCCTAGCACTACTACAGATATATCCATATATATAGATCTATGCACAGGGTAGAAAATATGAAAGAAAAAGCCCAAGCCCCGTCTATTGCCCCGTCTATCACCCCATCTATTGTAATTCCAAGAAAGGTTTCCCTACAAGATACACCACCAGAGTAGATCCGAAGGAAAGTAGGAACCATGATGATCCGACTTGTACTGGTTTTGCCATGTGTGTGTGTGCTCGGTGGGTACGCCGTGATGCACAAAGGGAATCAAGTGGCGAGAGACAATCAGTTCAAAGCAGCATGATAGTCGGCAAGGATGGCTTCCGCGATCTTCCCAGCCATACCGTAAAAGACGGTCATAACATGAGACGAAACTTGAGTTGGGGGAATTGAGCCGTCAATCACACGCAGACTTTCAACATCATAGACACGAGCAGCAGCGTCCACGACACCGCCCAGTTCCTTCGCCATCATGGAACACGTGCCCACTCCATGGTAGTTGGCACGGAAATTCTGCTTGACATAGTCCACCCACTCGTCGAGAGTAGCGTTGTAGGCTAACTTATTTCCAGGAATGGTCTCGCTGTTGAAATACTTTGTCATTTCACCTTTGTTGGAAATCTCACGAGCCAACTTCGAGGCTGCTGCCTGACCCAGGAGATCGAGCTCATTCAAGAAGAATTGAGGATCATATGCAAAGCGGCGAAGATAGGGGTCACTGTCCAAGATGTGGACATAGCCGCGGGTGAAAGGAATGAGATCCCACAAGTCCAGGCTCAGTTTGCCAGCGGTGTCAATGAAGATCTCAGCGTAAGCGACATCTGAGTTGACAAGCCAGTCGCGGTAATTTTCATATTGGATCAGGAGCGCGGTTTCGTTGTGGAAGCCGCCCCGGCAGACAGCATCCTTCGCCCACTCTTCAAGTTTGGTGTTTAGGAGCTGATGAGCGCGAGGTGCCTGATCCCCGAAGGTTTCATTGAAGGTGGCAAAATACGCAGCCTGGCCCTGGCCTGCACCGATTGAGTTGATAGCCGAGCGGACAGTGGTGGTAGTTTGATCTTGGAGATTGAGACCAACGGGCAGCTCAACAAGCTGTTCAACCCCGACCTTGTCGAGGACAGTCTTCAAGCCAATGCCGGAATGCTCAAGGATTTGGGGAGACACGGCTGATCCAGCGGCTACAAGCACCTCATGTCTAGCATGAACGTCGAAGTTGACCTTGTTATGTGTGCCAAAGTTGACTCCAACGGCTTTAGGGGTAGAGGAGGTGGTATCAAACAAAACCCGTCCGACCATTTGACCAGTCAAAACATGTAAGTTTGTCCGTTTGTAGTTTGGCAGAAGCCACTCGCGAGCGGCGTCTGACCGAGTCTGATCTTCATGCACATCGTTGGGGAACATTGATATACCGTGAGGAACGCCGCAGCTGAAATCCTTTTGAATGGGAACACCGGACTCCTCAGCAGTGTTCATGAGACTTCTAATCATGGGCGAAAAGCTCTCTCCGGTGTCCCGGGGGCCGACGTGGACGGTACCATTGACGCCATGGCATGCAGGATCAAAGTGATGACCAGCAGCAATCTGAGCAGCATTCGGTGGACGGGACGCCTCAATCTTGTTCATGTACGGGAGAAGATTATCCCAGTTCCATCCTTCCATCCCAAACACCTCCTCCCAGGAGTTAACCTGCGCCTTGTGTGGCCGTGTCCAGGAACCTCCATTCACCAAGGTCGAACCTCCTAGTCCTTTGCCGGATCGAACAATCTCAGTGCGGTTGTGAATGGCGAGGGGAATGGTCTCGAAGGCTTGGTCGACGGATGTGGTGAAGATATCACCATAGTGGTTGAGATTTTCAATGATAGGACCGATGTTCGATTCGTAGAAGCCACTTTCGATGACGAGAACGGTAATGTTTGGGTTCTCGGTGAGACGCGCAGCGACCGTAAGGCCAGTTAAACCTCCACCGGCGATTACATAGTCGAAGGTTTCGCCGGCCACCTTTGTTGGGTCGGTGAGCAAGCTCGACTGGAGATCAAATTCCCCTTGTGGAAGGGCCGCAGCCACGACAACCAGGCCGGATAGAGCGCCGAGGAACTTCATCTCTAAAGACGGCTTTGACGATTGAAAGGCAATGCCGAAAAGCAATGAGAAGGATGGATGGAAGGATTATCGAATGCGATGAATGGAAGGTTTAAGGCATGGGATTGGAACATATTTATATTTTTCATGCGGTCGATCACAGCAACGAAGCCTTGTTCCCAGGTACTGCATAGCACGCACATGGCCAAATCCTTCGACACCATGCATCTCAGCAGTACGAACAACATGTTAGCAGTATTGGCCATATTGGTACAACCTTGTAAATTTACATTTACGAGATAAGGATCTTGGCGCCGAGAAAGGCACCATGATGCATGTAGTTTGCCAAGAGAACCTTACACACTCTGAATGACCGACTCTGTTGATCATCTTGGTGAATACAGTTGCATACAAGGATAGAAATTCAGCCGTTCCGTTGGCCTTCCTGTATTGATCACGGACATGCTATCGATTCGGGACATATGGTCCGGGTCACGGAAGTATGTTATCGGCTTACCGATATTGTCTCGGCATGCCGATGCATAATATTGCCAAGGCTGCCAACACGAAGGTTATCTGCATGATGTGTACCTTGAGGGAAAGGCATATTGCCAACTGTGGCAGTGTAGCCAATCTTGTTTCTGAAACTTGAAATTGTGGATGCGAATATTGGCACCCCACTGGTTATCGGCCAACTAGCTTAGTTCCGTGATCCTCGTGTTCCTGCAGACATCCGGATCGAACCATCCTTGCCCCGAACGAACTTCCGGTCAACACTTGCAGATCATCATTGGATCCACACTGCTGAAGGTTAACGGGAACTAGTTCTAGATTTTGCTTGCTTTGAAATGACGTTCAGTCCGCCAAGCATCCTTCATCCTGCACCACTGACTGTCGACAGGAAACAGTTCTAGAATTGGCCTGCTTTGCAATTGCTCTCGGCCACCTAAAGATCTTTGATCCCACACTACTGACGGTCAGCAGTAAACAGTTCTAGAATTGGCCTGCTTTGCAATGGCCCTCGGTCACCTAAGGACCCACGATCCTGCACTGCTGACGGCTGGTAGGGAACAGTTCTAGATTTCTCTTGCTTTGAAATGGATTTTGGTCGGTGAAGGACCACTGATCCTGATGGAACACTTCAGACAGATAACCTAGATCAGTATTGCTGACGGAATCTTGCTGAGGGAACTCCGAGACCAGCCAAGAAACTTTATCCGAGGTGGCGTTAGAACTCATTTAAAAATAATATACAGGATTGAACCTGCATATGTACTAGCTTACACTTGTCTCACACGTACTTATGGACCCAAAACCCCTCGACTTTTCTTTTCCTGCAACTTTATAATCCATACTACCTTTGCATGATGCGCCCTGTTATTCTGTCCACAATTTTGTTCGGTGCCGCCTCTATGGCTACCAAGCTATATGCGGCATCTTACGCAGGCACTGTGACTACTCTGTCACCAAAGAGCGCGAACGGAAGTTATGAGCTATCAATCGTTGCCCAAACCAAAGACTGTGGGACCAGTCCATCGTGGCTGACGCTGGATAATGACCACGACTTGATGCTCTGCCTCAATGAAGGATTAGGGGCTTCAAACAGTAGCCTTACTTCCTTCAGGGTTAATTCTAATGGGTCTCTCACTGCGTTGGATGTTCTTGACACCGTTTCCGGTCCAGTCATGTCAGCTATTTATACTATTCCTAGCCAACCTAGACGGCGTTTCGTTGCCGTCGCGCACTAGTAAGTGCCAACTGAGGAGCACCATGGATCCATTGTTCAAAGTCATGCTGATGTATTTGTATTCTCTAGCTCAGGTTCCGCCGTCACTGCCTACACACTTGACCCGACATCGGGTTATTTAAACCAAACTCAGACCTTCACCTACAAGCTTGCTGCTCCTGGTCCAGTACCCGACCGTCAAGAAGCCTCTCATCCACATGGAGCCATCGTTGACCCCACGGGGCGCTTTGTGCTGGTCCCTGACTTGGGCATGGATCAAATCCACATCTTCAAGATTTCTCCCTCAAGCGGCCTTCTGCAACCCCAGAACCCTTTGCTGGTGAAGCCCGGGTCGGGGCCTCGACACGCCGTGTTTTGGACACCCAAGACCAGTGTTAGCTCTACCGATGACACATTCTTGTATCTTGTCTCGGAGTTGGGGAATACATTGACCGCTTTCAAAGCTCACTATACTCGCAATGGCCTAACCTTTGTTAAGGTTCACGAGGAGAGTACTTACGGTGGAGGGGCTATCCCAACTGGTTCCAAGGCCTCCGGGATTCACATTTCGGTATGTCCAATCGCACTTCATCATCTTCAATGCGGATAGAAAAATAGCCTTGTCTAACAACACTCAATCTCAAGCCCGAAAATGACCGTATTGTGGTATCCAACCGTGGTGATGCCACCTTTGGCAAGAACGGTGACTCTTTCGCTATCTTCACTTGCATCACTGGCCGCGGAAACCATGCAAAGAGTTTCTCATTCGTCGGCTTGTTTCCAACTTACGGTTCGTTCCCTCGTGAATTTGAGATTAATGGCCAGAATGGAATGATCTCAGTCGCATTGCAAAGCAGCCATGAGGTGGCTTTGGTTCAGTGGGATAAACAGACTAGGAAACCAGGAAAGCTTCTCGCCAAAAAAAGTTTGGATGGGGAGATTCCTGCTGCAATCTGGGGAGCCTAGGTATAATCAATCGAGAAACGGTCTGTTATAATAGTTTCGGTATTGGTAGACCACCCTTGTTCTTTTCTTTTCTTTTCTTTTGGAATTCCAAACGAGATCAACAATGCAGACCTCGCGAATACACTTTTCTCAATGAATGAGACGGCCGAAGGATAGCCCTATGATCTGCCTGTTTTAGGGATAAACTCAAAATAACTTTCCTCGAGGATCATGCCAGATCGATCCTGGTGGCCACCTTTGACAAGAAGTTGGCCGAGGGTGGATCGAATGGTGCATCCAAGTGTAGTGAGATTAGTACCAACCAAAGACTTTTTTCGGAGGATCAATGGATGTTGGAGGGTTCGGATCCTGAACTGAGTATCGCAGTGTCGCGAAAGAAACAATAGAAGGGCCCGAAGACCAAGGAATGTTGAGAATAGTTGCTGGACAGAATATTTGCTAGGTGGGGGTTGTCGATGAATTATCCCCCACCATCCTACCATTGGCCAGATAATCCTTTTGTAATGTTTGCTTTGTTTGTTCCCCGTCTGCATGGTTTGCCCTCTTACATCGCTCCAGTATTTTGAATTGACTGTTCAGAGACCTGGCGCATAACACCGAATGCGACTTTTAATTTCAGTCGCCATAATAGAGTCATACAGGCGTTCTATCTTCTGAAGGCCTGGGTAAGAAAGAGACAGACAGACCTCATTTCGCCCTTCGTAAGGTTCTTCAGACATAACATCTGTATTCTTCCACCCAAGGCACTAAAGACTGCCATTGCTTTCGGCTTTTATCGGACTTCCAGTTCGATACAGCGGGCATAAGTTTTTATCGAGCGAACACTCACCCAAAAAAAAGACAAAGGTGCTTCGGCTATGTTGGTAGTTAAATTCGAACAGCTAGACATCGCTATCCTATTGGTGAATCTCCTCATGTGATATGGTCTGTCTACCTAAAATATTGTGTTTGGAGTGGGCATACTCATACGGTGCCGTAGCCGTGCTAGACAAGATTTTATATTTATGGGGTCGATTCAGTAAACCAACAAGCTCATTTAGCGAGACTCATGAGAAGGGATAGGTAGATAACGACCGGCTCAAAAGCTCATCGAATAATTCCTAGCATTCACACTGAAGGCCTGCGAGGGAAGTTGAAGCATTCGGGATGTCAAATTATAAAGAACTACCCGATTTTATGCCAGACACGTCGTACAATGCTGCGTGCTCGGTTATCAGTTTCTCGGGCTTTCTAGAGAACCTATATGTAAAAAGGTTTGAAGAGCACTCTTAGAAGTGAGTTCCCGACAGCATAAAGGTCACTAATCTGTGGAGGTTAGAAGTTTATCGAAACCAACTGCGTCAACGGGTTCACTAATATATATTTGTGACTCGACCATGTGCGTAAGCATGCTATTGCGGATATTCGACTGGTTTCTCTAAATTTTTACACTCATAATTTGTCGACAAGTGAATATAAAGTAACTCAATGTGGAAGGAGAATAACAAGATATTATCCCCGAGTGTTAGAGCAGAGGTCTGAGCCCATGAGGCATGGGATGAATACTTGAAGTGGAGATAAAAGCCCAATTGGGCAAATCACCCGGGCCAGTAGCTTTGAATAGGCGGAACTGCTACCGATCTGATTGGTTGAAGTAGCCTCCCCTGGCCCCCTCTTTTGGGGTCATTCAGCAGATCAACCTATCGAATATTTCTCTTGGTCATTGGTAGGACCCTCCAGGGCTGACAGATTCTATTATTTGTTATTTCGTGAATACCGTGAGCACCCTAATCTACCATGGATCAAAAGTTGATTCCACTCTCATTCTTTCACTCTCAAAGAACATCTCCACACCCACTCTTTAAACATCACAACTCAAAATGACACTTCTCAAACCTCTTCTCTTAGCGACAATGCTATCCATCGCCTCGAACGCTGCAAAAACCGACTGCCCACTAGGCTGGCTCCCAAACACATTCCACGAGACCAAATGCTGCTCCGGCAACATGGTTATCGACGAACAAGGCGCCTACTGCTGCGTTAACGACATGAGAGCTTACAAGGAATTACTCACCAACACAGCACTGCTATATGCTACCTCCACGACGACCGAAGAGACCAACTGGTCCACGGTGGATAACTCTTGCTTCGCAGAGGTCCGCTTCACAGCGACCGACTACTCCGCCCAGGTTTCGTCGGCGTCGAGCAAGGCTGAGGCTACTCCCACAAATGATTCAACGAGCAAGGCCACCTCCACGAGTACTACGACTTCTGGGGCTACCGCTGGTACCGGCTCGCAAACCTCCACTTCCAGTCCGACCTCGAGTCCGACTCCGACTTCGAACGCGGCTATGCCGCTTGCTACGGCTGATGTGCTCGGTGGCGCGGCATTTGCAGCTGCTCTTTTCATGCTATGATTTGAAAATGATCTTCTTTTGATTTTGGCCCCCATTTTGTTTCCGGGTTCGGAAGATGCCGAGGACTTGGCATATCCATAGTTAAACATATGCTGTACACTTTCGAAATAAATGTAATGTCTGGTATACACGGAATTTCGCTGAATTCTTAAACCCATGAGTTGATTTATTGGCAGCCAAACCTTGAGACAAGTAGTAGAGAGACCCAAAAATAAAAAGGAGGGGCTGCCCAATGTTACATTGTGCCCTGCTGCAGAGGCTAAGACATCAGCGGCTTGGCAGGGGTCGACTAGGCCTGATGATTATTAGCTTCCAAGGATTTTATTGGGGTGGGCCATTTGGACCTTGCCCGGGACGAACCTGTCAGATCCACTTTTGGGCCTCATTTGGGTTCTCTTTTCCCCACAAAACAAGCAGTGATCCCATTCAAAATTAAAATAGAATGTCGCAAAAGCGACAAATACAACCGCCCTACCCCCAATCATAACTTTGATCGCGAAACACACATGCTAAAATCCCTGAGAACGCTAAACTCGGGGGATAGATGAACTATCGAGCCATTGTTTGTGGCGAATCAATGAAAGCCTACGGCGGGAAGTACATTAGTTTTAGAAACAATGAAGAGAGTGTATCAATAGCCAACCAGCTAGTGGAGCTAGCTGGAGTACGAGCCATCTTTTTGTTAATACTTGGTTCTGCGGCTTTGGGAGAAGCGAGGTCATTCTGTCCCTTCGCAGTGTTAGATATCTATAAACCTGAGCTTCGAGGGCTTGATCAACTCGGAACTTCTTCATAGAAGACCCTTGGCTACCAGGATCATTTGAGCTCTTTCCTCTTCTTCATTTCTCTCTGTCCCAGTCATGCCTGCTATCAGCTACTCGGCAACATGCATGGGTCCTCAAGCAGAGGCATGGTTTCAATATCATTTAATATAGCCACATTTGAATGTATAAAGAGAATCCTAAATATGGATCCATTTAACAATGAATAATTAAAGTTTGATTTCTGCTGTTTGGTAACAATACAAAAAGCCCAGTAGGTTTGGTATTCAATTTCATAAAGACCAGGCGTGAAGGACCGCCGATTGAGTCCGAGGATTGACAAACGCGAGAAATACAGCACTGCCGAGAGAAGGAGGTTCAGTTTTCGTTGCCATTCTCCTCTTCATTCTTGTCGTCTTTGGCCTCCTCACCGGCTTCACTCCCAGTGTAGAAGGGGTCTTCCCCCTCCAGAATTCATTTCAGGGGCAAGAAGTGCTTATCTTCGGAAATGGAATCTCCTGCAGTCTTGAAAACTCTTAGAATATCAGAGTTTCGTTCCTCAGCTCCCGTTACCATGAAGTGAATGGCCTCGTTGGCGTACTCCAGACGTTTCTCACCAGCCCGTTTTGCCTCCTCTTCAATTTCGTTTAATCGCTTGAGCCAGTACATCCATCTCCATAGTGTGAATCCAGTGGGTGAGCGCTTTCCCAACTCCGACTCGAGGAGCGAGGGGCCGCCCTGACCAATCGCGCTTGGGCAATAATTCCATGAAACCTCCGACAGTTGCATAATATTGTGCGATGCCTCCTTAAACCACGCATTGGCAGCGGGCAACAAGTGCCTAAGCTCAAGTGACCCCATGCTCCGGTGTGAATCTTCCTCATCCTTATCCTCGGAGGGGAGAATCTCCTGTCTCTGCTCGAAAGCACAGCGGAAGATGACAAGGGCAACCTGGCAAATTCTGTCCTTGCAGACGCGGGTGGATGCCAGCTTCGCCAAGAACGAGGCGAAGTTCAGGCGCTGGGTTCCCGACATTGGTCCACAGTTGTTGATCCAGAAGTCAGTCATATCAGTGACCAAGAAGGGTAGGTCATTCCAGATTGTACCTTCAGTCGTCCGTGCGATATCGATCTCGTAAATCCCCTTCACGGTCCTGGTCAAGGGCCCCATTCCCTGGATCCGGATGATGTCGAGAACCAGACGATCGTGCTCGAAGGTTTCATGCGAGGCATGTAGGCTGAGCTGGAAGTACATGTACCATATATCACCAATGTATCCTTCGAGGGAATCTACCCCGTCTCCACAATTGCAGTATCTGTCACTGACGATCCAGGTTCGATTGTAGCGGGCTGCCGCGTGGACTTCCTGGAATTCACCGCGAGCGAGGCTTTCTCGGGTATCCTGGCGATTGTGAGAGACGCTGTCTAATTCGCCGATGTCGGGGAAGCCTTTTGGGGAGGGGCTTAGTAGAGAGTCACGGAGGCGATGCATCTTGGAACAGTCGTAGTATGGTTGAATGGATCAGTGATAGCGTGTTGATGAGGGCAAGAAAGGGAACGGAGTGAGATTGAGACCTGTGTGACAGAACCCCACGGGGGTTTGTACGGCGGAAGGGGGGCGGGTTGGTTCAGGGACGCCACTGATTATAATTTTGACGGTCCCGTTGTAGGCAGCAGGATGATAACCTCAAGTCTTTCCTAAGCTCAGGAATAAGATGTCAATAAGTGGGTTCATCTGGTTCCTGTATTCAGAGTGTGTACAAACTAAAGCTGTCGATCACCCGAGCCCCTGCACCCACTCCAATCAATGGCAAGGTCGGCCCCGTAGCTTTAATACCCCATACCACTGGCAGGACCACTAGCAGCATGATCAAGTATCAATTGAAGGTCTTAAACAGAGACTACCTAGGTACAACTTCTGGTACATGTATTTACAACAACTTTAATGGTGCATATAGTTCGTTCCATGATATCGATATGTTACTCTGGTGCTCAATTTCTGTTAGCTGATCTTTTAGATTACATATATAGGCTGGGCTTGAATGCCTTTTCCACAAAGTGACCAGGATGGATTTTATTAGTTAGTGAAAGTATAGCTTTCTAAATACGTACTCCACACGGAATGCGTCATTCAACGGATAGGACCATCCACATTACCTTAAAAATACGATTCGCTGCCAAATAACTCGTTCGGTGGTCTTACCTACCTAGGTATAAACTAACGAAAATGAAGATCGTCGAGGCTGAAAAGGACGGAATGACCTAATGTTTATATCGCCAGAGAACCTCTGATGTCTAATCAAAAACCGGTGCACTATTTGAAATTAACCTCCGAGCGGGTTAAATACGGCGTGCGAGAGGACAATATAGGTCGCGGTGTGGGAACACTAGTAAGGTTATGATCCTAATTGTCTACAGAAAATGCAAAAACTAAAACCCATCGTAACCTTTTCAAGTCCAGTCATAGCTAGGTAAGAACTCCGACGAGTTTCATCATCACAACACATCTTTTTCCAGGGACAGACCAAGACCAGACTTTTCAGTCAACCTTTCAATACTACGCCAACTCGCAGAAACCAAACGTGGGATCATTTTGAGTGATGGAGTCCATCAAACCAGTGAAGTGTTGTGAGTTAGAAAATATCGATAAAATGGATATCATCCGCACCGCTTCGTATCATCGGCGTGGATTTGATGTAAGTGTTCTCAGAAAAAATCCCCGTGACCATGACCAGGTACGCACTTCGCTACTTCAAACCATCCCTACTACTTCCTTAACTCTTGCAGAAATTGAGTTTTTGCCGCTTGACGTTATCCTTGACATATTTTCCCTACTCGATATTCAGTCTTTGTTCAATTTTCGCCATGTCAATCGTCGTGCGCTGCAACTCGTCGCAAGAACCCGTGGCTACGACGTGGTAATTAGACATGCTCTAGGATCCCTCCGCGCTATACTGAGAACCAAAGTTGCGTCGTGGTTTACAATATTGGACTTGTTTAAAGCCCTTTGCAGTTCCTCGTTTGGTGGTTTTATTTTCCTTCCTTCCTTTATGAGGTGCTGCTTCTGTTGCTTTAGGATGGATCATCTTCCTTCCGTGGCACAGGTTTCTACCGTGAAGGAACTTTTCAAACCAAGCCAGAGCTACCTACGCGGTTTGGTGCCTATGGTGACGACGTTGCCTGGAAGCTATGCAGACATCGTTCGAACGCAAAGATACCAAATCATGCCCACAGAATTTGTTGGCACATTATCCGCCCGTGGGCGGCATAGCACGAGCCGGTTACAGGTATCATTGTCACTAAAGTATATGGTGACTACCTCATTACCCTATCTGGATGTTGAAAGCGGTGTCCTTCAGAATGGAATATGCTGCAGTGGCTGCGATGCTTTCTTGCGAAAGGATCACCCGGAGATATCACCAAACCCTTCGTTGGAGGATCTCTGGACTTTGCGAGACAAAGTGTACTCCTATGATGAATTCATGGAACACTTTCGGGGATGTCGAGAGGCTCAAAGTTTATGGAAGTTGAACAATCAAGGGATTGATGTCTCTGAAATCTCAGGATTCTTCGAACCTGGAGGCGGAGAGATCAGACTTCCTTCCAATTGAGAATAGACCGCCACATTTCTATAGCTTTAAGTAGAGGGAAAAAGGATGTAACTAGTGACGTGAGTGGGTCGCACGTACTGGTGTTTGTTGGAACCCCTAATCATGTGATCATTTCCCAGCAGGACTTCTGTATATTAGCTAGCTTGCTCTTTTGTCTCTCTCCTCTTTTCTTTTTCCCATCTTCGTCAGATAGTCAACACAGTTGTCCACGGGTATTGCTCCGTCTTCTTTTTGCTTGACGTTCTAAGACACTCAGCCGCCCCACATCCAGGCCCCACTTAAGCGGCAACGATCCGGATCACGTGCCAGAAGATCATTGAACCCCACACGCTTTCTATTACTTCGCTTGTCTTTCGCATCACCCAAAAGCCAACCACAACTTGATTACTTTCTGTTACATTACACGAAAATGTTTCGACATCCACGCGAAACCCAGCCTGACCCGATAACTTCCGAACTAAGCCACCTCCTTTCCCCACTGGTTATTTTTCCATGGGGACCGCTTGCAATGCACTACTTGGGCGTTCCCATTGTCGTAGGTGTAAGTTGGGATATCACTGATTCACATTTTAACACCTACTCACCAAGCCCTATAGAATGCTATGATAGCCGTCCGTGATGAGGACTATGAGCTGGCATGCCAGAAGCTGAAGGACTCGGCATTCTACGAAATAATCCCTGACCGCTCGATTCCCCCCGAGATATTGGCAACGCTCCCAGATCCAGAGCAAGCAATTGAAGAGGTTGAGAGAGAGTACCAACGCCTGGATAAGTCAACAGTCACGTTCGAATATCCAATAAATCACCACCTGGCAGGGAGTCTACAGTTGACGATGGCGCCAAATTCTTTCGCAAATCTTCCCATACCGGATGTGACTGGTGATGTGAAGCAAAGCGTATTATCTACCAGTGGCTACGACATATACGGCAATATTTGTCAGCCACTTGAAGAGGCGTTAGTTGAAAGTTTTGTGAAATGTGTTATTGACGATAAGAATGATGAGAATGCCGAGTTCTCGGGTTGGGGGGACAGATTGAGCACATGGGTGGCTATGATGTGCGCATATCTTGAGGTTAATAATGATATTCTGGATAGCTGCCCAGATGAGAGAGCAGTGGAATGGTTTAGTGTGACCTACGGTCGGATACACGAGGAAAAGTTCGGCCCCTTGGATAGACGTGTCTCGAAGCGATTGGGGTCTGGAAGGGAAATGCCGGTGGATATGAGGGGCAACCCGTTGCCAAAGTAAAGTGTACAGGGGCCCTGGGCCAGGATTTTATAGGTCTACGGAAACAGACCGAATAAGCTTATGTATATCTTATCGAAGTCCATAGGACTCTAAATGATTTCATGGAATTGGGAAATGGCCATGTATTGTATTGGGGTATTCAATTTCTGCTATTATCCGACCAGGCCAAAAGCCCCATGGTCCATACTAAACGCCCCCATGTCGAAAGAAAATCAAACGCCCCGGGAAAAGCATGCAAGCAGCGCTAATATCAGACGCAAAAAAAAGGCAATTCCATTAATAACCCCAAAACCTTCATTCGTAGGAATATCGACTAGCCGTGGTGGGTATCGGCGAGGACGCGAGGACTGCCATCTAGAGAAAAGCATGGTAGTTACTTGATACGCTGTGTGGGAAATTGAAACGGATTAAATATCACCAATTACGGAAGATTTCCCTGCATTTGAGGATTCGGCGGAGACCACTTCGTAGCCGGGGTCGTTCCTCCAGAAGGCTTGACAAGGCACGTTGCAACTCTTGGTCGTGATCAAAGTCGAGCTCCGGCTTCCCGGGAGTGCAATATCTCATAAGGCGAGCCAGGTCTTCGATATCCATCGAGTGCTTGAACCCCTGGCGCTGGTATTGCGAGAGTATCTTCTCCCGTGTGAGCCATTCGGGGCTAAAGAGCTTCACAGGGTACCCGTTGATTGACTTTGTCACTCGCGTAGCGGTTTGGAGATTGTATTGCGGTCGGTTTGGCCAGCTGGCGTAATCAAAAACCTCGACCTCCACGAGCTGTATGGCGCCATTGGGCAAACGGAGTCGGTATGCGGGGATGATGTGGCCGAACTGATTGACCGGGCCAAACTCAGATGAGAAAGAGCTCAGTAATCTCTGAGTGAGAATATCTGCAGTGATGGATCGCTGATCAACGTGAATCACTAGATCGACGTCCTCTGTACGTCGGCTAGGGTCAGGAGCGGTGAGGCATACAGCCGCGCCTCCCATGAAAGCATAGTCAACTTGCAATGAATCTAGGCATTGTGCAACTGTGGCAACAGCAAGTTCTAGCTGCGGCGGTAGCAGGGCAGGCATGTTGAAAACTTCCTGTAATATTCTGTTAGCTTTAGTTGGGAGAGTGATGGGGATTCAGTTTCTTACTTGATGTACAGTTGAATAAGATCGTTGTGTCACTTTGGAAACAAGACGAATAGAGGAGCCGACTGAAAATCAGGCGCAGGGACCGCTAAAGAGAAAGAAAAGCATGAGGTGAACTGTGCTGTTAACTGAGAGTGTGAGAGAGTGAGAGAGGGACAGAGAGAGAGGTAAAAGATCATCAATTAAATACTCGTGGGAAGCAGTGTCATTACCACATTAGGCAGGAAGACTGCCTCAGACGCGGGAAGCTGTTCCCCATTAAGAGTAGGAACCTTGGAGCCTCATTACCCGCGATATCCTGTACAGTTGATTATGTTTAATATGCCTAAGGCATTATAATACCGCAGCCAATCGTGCTTCATTTTAAGCGCCTACTTTTTGATCGTCCAAATGCCCAGTATACATTCATGACTTCCCCCTTATGTTCACCACCTTATTTCGTCTTGTATTCCAATCTATGTGATGGTCATCATTACTAACGGTATATTTAAACCCTTTGTCATCCGGTTTTTAGAGGTTCTTTAGATAGTACTTTTGAATACCCTTTCTATGTTTCTTTTAAATTGTCTTTTGGATTTCTTCTCGGGAGTCTCATCCTAGGGGAGTGGGACAGGTTTCGGTATTTCAGATCTCTGGTGGTTCCAGAGGGGTCTCTGACGCTGACAGGGATGTTCCTCGGACAGTTCGAGAATACCAACAGCGATACCCACGTGAACGGCTGGTGTGCCACCGTCACGATCGCAAAGTCCAACCAAGCCGCTAGACTCGGAAGCTATCTGCCAGCTCGCCGCACAGCACTGGGCGCGCTCAGATATTGCCCGCCTCGCAGATGTTTCTCATTTCGCTGCCGTCAGACAGGAGCACAAATGAGCAATCACCTCGGACGTGCCTTCGACCTTGGAGGAGGGCGCTAATTAAAGTCCCATCAATCAATGAACCTGAAAATTCCCCCATTCATGCACATGAAACATATCTCTACGCGCATCCAATACGTAGACACCTCAGGCCGGCCGATTCTCAATAAATTAAACTCCCATTTTCAAACGTACGCATATACCTGTGGTACTCACCTAATATGGATGTAGCTTCCTAGAATTCCCACGTCGGGCGCCTTTGACCGAGGTTGGGATAGAAGTACATAGGATGAACATCATTTACAACCTAAGTCACCGATTTCTTCGATGGCCCAGAAACCATTCGTTGCCTGGGAGTCTAATCCATTGTCTGATTACAGGCCTGGAGAACCTAGTGGGACCATCATTACTAGCGTGCTCTGTTGCAAAGTGAAGTCACATATATTTCTTTCACCTCAGTCCCTGTTATATTTAGCGCAGATTAGTTACTTGGATGTATAAGTACCATTAGGTCTCATCCTATTCCATCATTCTTGCGGTGTAAGTAAAAACATCATGTTTTAACCCTATGAATTTTGACTTCCCACTGGGTATCGACTTGTCGCTAAGCTGCCACACTCCAGATCACTTCGGAAGTTATTTAAATATGCATCTCCAAGCATTTTACTCACCACTAAAGGCTGTGGTTTATTACGGGAAGAAAAATATAACGTAAAGGGAAGCGAATAGGATTCATCCCAGGCACAGCAGATGCGCAACGCAGGTCGAGTCAGATAAAGCCCCCAAACTCTCACGAAATCCTAGCTTCACATATTGTGGTGACCATATTCCTAAAAGGTATGCCAAGAGGTCTAATTTCAACACTGAGGGCCAAAAGTGATGAATAAACCTAAGACTCGTTGAAGAAGGATCACTGAAGGTTTCCACGAGATCCACCTGGGCCCACTACAAGGAACTAGATCCCGGCGCTACATCCCATCCGCCAAGGTCAAGGTCAACTCGTGGGAGGGGTAGCTGGGCAGACATTAAGTGTCATTTGCCTGATTAAACACGCTCATGATAAAAATGAAGAATTTCGGGATATAATCCGCGAGGATAGTTGGATTCCCACCAGAGGGTGTTTAAAATGCTAAAGCCTGGCAAGTAAACAGACATGCAGGGCAACCAATCACCAACCAATTAATTAATATGCGCTATAGTACAACAGAGTTAAAGTTGACGCCTCAAGATTCAACTCGAATTAAACTTGGTAATTTATATACTCTCCTCGATATCCTGTCTATATGGTGATAGGACACCACGGGATGTCATATAAAGGTTAGACTCAGAAATATGTTTGACAGCTTACCAATTGCTAGACTGGGGCTTGTTTACTCTGGCCTATATGTAGGTAAAAGCAGTATACAAAAACAACATCTCGTCAATGCCGCTGACTTTGACCGCCATTTTGGAGATATGTGGACCATTGATATAATTTCCTAGCGTACGGCGACATCGAATTTGACATGGATAACGAGAGGGGTGGTGGGAGGTGATAATACACTAGGCTTGAAGTAGTAGCAGAATTAATATGCAAATATTATGCTTCATAATTATCGAACTGCATCTCCAAAGAGATTCGGCTCTACGCAGGGATGGATATTCCACCAACGATGTACATGTTTCATGTTAATCATATAGTATGGATCTATATCGCATAATGTGCGATCATTATTGTGTCTCAACTTCTATTGGTTACAACTCGCAGGTATCTATTGAAAGTAATAATCAAAACATTGCTTTTTCCATCAATAGTAAGCTATATTATTGCCTGCTCGAAACGCACATCCGTGGATGAAGGGGTAGCGCCCACACCCTCCCGCTCCAGACGAATTCCCAAATTTCATCTATATTGATCAACAGCCTGATATCTAGGTATAGCCTTATGACGTTACATCGGTATCGTGTGATCAGTCCTCGGACAGGCTGTTGTGGGTACTCCTAAGTTCCTACAACAACCCCGAATCAACCTTACAAGCCACCAGAAACTAGCACGGATTTTCAATGTATATCTTTCTTCATCTGGCCTGGGCCACATGGGGTGGGGGAAAGCATCCGACCAGACCCGCAATCCACCTTTCCACGTATGGAAGTGTGTGCATGGACACAGACAAAGCGCCCCGCACCTTGATTCCATGCGGTGTGGACTTCGACCAAGCAGAGCTAGGTGTTTCCCCACGGGAGGAAGATTTTCTTCGCATAGAATAATGTAAACTAGGATTCATGCGACTATAGCTTGTTCCGAGAAACCGTTAGTTCTCGCGCAGTGCAGCTAGCGGATAATATGACCTATCATACTACGAGAAATCGATGAGGGAATTTTCCACGTAGATACTCAAAACCAGTTTAACGTCATGTCGAAACAAAGAAAATATCTTGGCTGATTAGAGAGATTCAGAGACTCTCCGGGTTTCCGTGTTGTCCGTGCTCGATAACCGGGTTATATAAATCCATGGATGGCAATCGGGGGGTGTTACACATTATTCATATCTCAAAGTTCAAAATGGCTGCATGCGATTATACTATTTCACGAGACCTTAGAGTCGTCGCCCCTGCCGGTCAGATTCATCTTCCTATCAATGTAACCGGCAATATACCCAACTATAAACGCCTCAGTGAGGGGCCTGTTATCAAGTCATGTGAAATCGCACTGGGAATACATAATGTATCCCTTCAGGTTAGGCAAACACAATCCCACTCATGGATCGAAGACTAAATATGTTGAATGTAGCTCAAAATCCCTCATTATGACATTATCCACCTCAATCCAGCTCCCCCATCGGCTGTCATCTATTCACACGCCAACTTCAAGGCTTCTATCCAACCGGAAAAGGCTGGTGATCCCAAAGACTTCTATGAGAGGTGCATTGCTGAAGCCGCAGCGATTAACCTATTTTTCCCCGATGTACAATCGGAACGCATCCGCATATGCATGACCGCGTGGCTGGCTGCAAACTGCGCGGCAGATGACATACTTGAGGCCATGCCACCAGCTGCCGCAACGTTTGCTTTGAAAGAGGCAATCTTGCAGCTTCAAGGAAAGAATTTAAACGGTACGTAAATCAAGATCGGGTGCTGAAATCTTGCCAGCACCGAGGCTGACAAATATCAATAGTCTCTCCGACAAGCAAGGTGGCATCAATCCTTTGTTTCTTTCAAGAATATTGCATCCAGCAACTTGACCTATGTGAAAGCACCGCCCATGAGCTCAGCGATGATATATGCGACATGTGTTATGGCTTGCTTGACGAGGTCCTATTTCGGCAAGGAATGTTGCCCAACAACCTGGAGACCTATTTGCAGTTCCGAGGCAGAACGATGGGAATCCATCCATTTTTCACTCTGATCCGAACATTACACGAACCGGTCGAGGAGGAATATCTCACAGACCTCAAAAATCTCCAGAAGGGCATTAGCTTAATCCTAGGGCTGCAGAACGACCTTGTTGGCCTAGAGAAAGATCGTCGAAATGGTGAGACCATGAATGCAGTCTTGGTATCCTTAAAGGAACAGGCGGGGATGGATGTGGAACACATGGATATGATATTGCCAAGGACGATTCAAGACGTGTGCAACATCCACAATCTTTGTGTCTTAGCTGCAGTGGAGATGTATGAAGGGCTCCATGTCTCGCTACAGGGAGACTCCCACGACCCGATTCTTGAGGCAGCAATTTTGGCATTTGCAGATACCCATCTGAAATGGTGCGCCTCGTCTAAGCGATATCAGGCAAAGGTAGAATAGGTAACTGATTAGTCGAGCGAGTTTAATTGGGCTCAATATAAAGATGGCGTTTAAGGTATGCGATTGAGTTGACTCCACTTTGTCTATCACCCTGCATGCCCCACGATGTGATAGACAGGAGTGCATGCAGTATGTACATGTAGTGTAATAGGGCTAGTCACATTTCGGAATTGGGTGTCGAGCGATGTGATAAGCCACACTCGAGCTGCATATATCCCCTGAAAGTGGCGGTGAGGGATGTGATGTTCTTGTGATTGGACAGGGATCCGTTGTGCGTATGTTTGTGGCGAAAATGAGATGTTGTCACTGACCATGTTGCTGTTTGCATTGCAGATAGAACATTTGGACCAAGAGCTCACCAAGAGCCATGATTCACTCTCAGTTTCGAGGGATTGAATATGGGCGCATTCTTCAACCAGACTGCATCTGGAGGGTACACTTTCAGGACTCGTCATGTGGTCTACATGGCTGTATGTATGCACAACTATGCGAAGGGCTATTGGAAACGTTCACTATTGAAAAGCACATGAGCACATGTGTATGGTTGTAGGGGCATATAGGTTCCCACATTATTCAGCTAGGAAGTAAGGGCGAGCCAAGAAAAGCAGCCATGCGTGGGGCGTGATATAACAAAGAACTTTTGAGTTATTTTGCAAATAGATAACACGATAGCCCACATGGTGTTTCCTCTTTGGGTTGTAGACCTTGTTTTCCCTTCATGTACGTGTCCAATTCGAGGTAGTTCGAGTCAGTTTGAATAGTTCGCCACGTCATTCCACGACTGTGTCTCGGCACAAGGGATATTCCGATTACAGAAGGCAAAAGACTGTAGACTGGGATAACGGAAAGTCTACACTAGAATGCCGTGTTCCATTGCCCCTGAATATCGAAAACCAGACCAGCGGAATCATCTTGAGAGAAGGATCCGGGACACAGAGTTGAAAAGCTCAACCACGAGGAACGGTCTACCTAGGTAGAGTTGAGGCTCGCCCTAGTCATGTAAATACCCCGCAGAAAATGGCAAAGATAGTGTTGGCGCGGGATGCATACATTTCAGTATTCTTGCATAAGCGACTCTTCACTCATTTATATAGGCATACTGAAAGGCCCCTATCACTCGGCAAAGGCTACCAAAACATCACAGATGAGTTCCAAAGGGTGCTTAACAAGTTCGACTTGCTATTATGCACACGCAAGGTGGACCAACATCTTCCGCCGGGCCATGTTCTAAGTAACGAGGAGGTTGACAGGAGGGAGAATATAGCAGCATATACAAAGCAATATCTGGATATTGACTAGAAGAGGAAGGATATCGCAGATGCAGAATCGGCGGGTGAAATACTTCGCTTGAGAAAGGTACCCAGTTATACTCCGCAATATCAATGATAATTGCTTCAATATAGCGAGTGTAAACTTATGATATGATTGAAATCCGAGACATGTACGTATCCTAGGAAGCAAAACACTCCAGCCATGGGCCTTACATACGATATAGAAAGGTGGTCAAAAGCATCATTGGGCAGTTTTTATCCTGACCAGAATCAAGACAACGACTAAGTACTGAAATACTCGCACGATGAGTTCAATGGACAAAGTTGAATCGTCCTAGTCGGGATAGTAGAGAGAATAATTGTGATGTTGAATCCTTCGTTTGTGTGATCGGCCCTTCTTACTGGGTTCTCAGCTCAGGGAGATCCAATAACTTCAGTCGATCCTCCCTTAGAATCCTCTCTGTTGTAACCCGGTCAGGATAGTTCCTCATGAACATGTTCGTGAAGTGGGTTCCATAATGGATTTCTTCATCTGGAGGCTGGCCATCATAAAGCTTCGCAATTGGGGAAATCACAGCTTGGAAGCTAGGTTCATGGAAGTAGGCGAAGGCAAATCGCTCGCGGGTATTGAGGCCAACCTTGTGGGGGGTGGATGGTAGGTACGAGTTGGTCATGAACTGTATGATATCCCCTAGAGAATTGACGTAGAATATTTCAGTATGCTGCATGGGGATTCTAAAGAGTTTGTGGAAGGTGAAAAATAGACAAACCTGGGAATACCGTGAATACTCCAGGTACAGGAGGTACATAGACCCATCGCTCATCATCTTCGCGGAAGCCAGCAGCGCTTTTCTTCCAGTTCTCCAGCTTCTCGTCGGCTGCTGGGGGGCGAATAAATAGGCCTTAAATTATCAATTAAATGAACATATTCCTAAAGATAAAATGGGGATCTCACCTCCAACCTCATCCTGGCCTGCAATGACCAGGAGACCGTAGTCCGTGTGGGATCCAATGCCGCGCCCCTCTTTGCCTCTTCCGTTGGTCTTGTTAATTTGAGGGAACCTAAACGTCAAGGTCAAAATCCGTTGGCAATCATTGTTAAAAGGAACACATGCAACCTACCTCAAAACACGGAGATGGTGCCATCCATCCTTGGTTAACGAGGTCAAAGTGTGAGGATCCAGACTAAGCCCATATTCAATCATCTGCAGCAGCGTTTCTCCGCTATTTCCCAAGGAGTCCATGTACTGTTGTATAGTGGTCTTCATCTCGCTATCTAGCCAAGGGCAAGGACCATGGCAAGGCCACTTGGCTTTCACTCGAGCCTCGTCCAGAGGAAGATCTTTAGTGACCGTGAATATCTCTGAATAATCAGCAACACCATCAGTAATCTCCTCTCCGGAAGCAATATAGCCGGCGTAGCTCTGAGTGTCTATACAAGCAGCCTTCTGAGTAGGAGGCATAGCAAAGAACCGTTTACTAGCTGCGGACGCTTTGTCAAAGAGATCCTGCTGCTTCTGACTCATTGAGACCTGAAGGATACCATCTTCACGCCACGCATTGATCATAGCCTTGCCCATTTCAACGTCTCTGGGCGATCCAGTAGCCTTCTCGGGCAAGGTGAATGTCTTGAGCTGCCCCACACGAGCTACCGAGTTTGGTGGCATCGTGCTACCTAAGTCGCTCGGTGCTGTAGTAGTTGCCAGGCCCTTTGCTTGTTGACCCGGAAGAAGTGCTGGGTTCGCATGGTGAATGGAGTTGTGAAACATAACTGGTCGGCGTAGTGCGATAGTGACACTTCTGTGTGAGAGCATGTTCTCCTCAGCTTTCTTTCCAGACTTTCGGATCAGTCTTCAGCTAAATTCGGTGTTCGATCAACTTACTGAATGGCTGTGTGAGAGTAAGTCAGTGGTGTGTTGCTCTCAACATTTTGCGGAACAGCTCTCTACTTATATCCCGTTAGGATAGAGATTGGGGGAGGTGTAGTGATTACAACTACATTAGACAATAAGTGATGTTAGATGAAAATCCCTCACACCCTTTTGCGAGTAACTATTTGTAAAATCAATCTCCTCTAGGCTAGAAGCATGATCCCTCCTGGGTTAGCTACATGGGACCCTTCTTGTTAACTACACCAAATTCGGCAGTTAAAGGCAGTATGATGGTCTGAATACCTTCGACCCACCCCCCTTCATGGCTATGGAGCTGACCTTCCTTATGCAGCCATGCAGTAAGAATGAGGGCTGAATACGCCATCGAATTTCATAAAAACAAGCACCCCAGTACCTAAACATCCGCAGGATATACCATAGGGTATCAGGAGATTTTGGCGATTTATTGCTAATCGGTATCCATATAAATGCACGGGTACATCCGTTCAATTTTATATCTATATTTTAGGTATAGAGTTTCATGCCACCCCAGCCTTACAACATTCGTGTACTAGTATTCTCCGAGGTATTTCAACTTGCCCCTGATTCCACTCATTTGATCAGAATCAATTAGCTAATTTATCGCACAGACCTGATGGTAGCCACTAGTTCGCATGATCATTTGGGAGCCCGGACATTTAGTTGACCCTTGTTTGCATCAATTATTTGCGACCTTTCCTATGGGTTCTATTTCCACTAACAAGGGTCCTACCGCGGGGGTGGTTACACGATGGCCAAACTGGGGTCAAGTTGCATAGCTGACTCTCCCCACACTATCCGTTTCATCTTGGCAGCCTAACTTGCAAACTGGTGAAGGATGGTTACACAAAGACGACACCTGTCACTGATGCCTTAACCCATGGATGACCTCTTAATTACCTCCAAAGTCGTCTTGATTTTTTTGCCCTTGGTACGCAATACTGGTAGCGTTGCTTGAAATGGGACTTGTTCAATGATCGTTTAGCTGTAAATAACCAGCAGATTTGCATCTAGGGTTGGAGACGAGGTTGAAACCTTGGCTTATTGGAAGCAAAGTAGCTAATACTGACTGAAATGTTTCAGCCAAGCACTATCGATGAAAAGTTAGCTGAGCTTCTTGACACAGCCAGGAAATACTTATGCAAACATGACCTCTGATCATACAGATTCTAGTTGTCGGAATAACATTGGCAATTGGGCAGCTATGTCGTGATAGGACTAATTATTGGAAATATTTAAAGAATCCGACCGGACAATTAAAGTCTGTCACGGGACAAAGAGACTCCAGAAAGCTTGGCCCCACGATATTGGAGCAACCATCGGCTACACTTGCTACTAACTCTTAGGAACCATAAAAGTCACGATGAAATAATAGCCCTTAGTACGTAAGAGCCGCACACGATCACCTTGAATGTTTTCACCAATAGCTAACGATTTTGAGCGGGTTCTCCGAGATTTATCTGTATCATGCAATCTATAATAGGAAGTAGACGAGAACGGGTGATATTTGGTAATGCCTTTAGGATTTATTTTTCTGTATGTAGCATTTTCGGTTCACAAATATCCAATTTATTGACTTCGATACGTTGTAAATGTGTCAGATCAGTTGATCCTACCCGATCGGGGTAATACTCAACGGTGGCGAACATCCAAGTCTTAATTGTGGGGGATGGCAGGAATCATAACAGAAGAGACATCGGTCGATCGCGATCGGAAATGAGCCTAGAATAATTTTGAGACTGAATGACCTAACAGTAGTAATGCTGTTGTATATATTTCACTGGGTTCATCAAAATAAATCTTTAAAAAGGTAGGGTAT